CCTGGACTGAAAACGTTATCCTTGAGGAACTGGGAATTTGGAGCAGACCGCTGACTATAGACATTGACTTGTGATCGCAATCAAACGCCAAATTTCTGTTGCTAAGCAAGACATTAGTTAAGTGAATTTTGCCCCATTTTACAACCTTTCTTGCCAGAGTTGTTAAGTGAATCACTGCAGTTGTTAAATTAGTAACACTGTTGTTAAGTGAATCTGACTTCCCCCTTGCCTTGGCTAGTCTGAAGGTCGCAAAAGGGGATTGCATGACCCCTGGGACACTGCAACCGTCATAAATACCGTGTTTCCCCGAAAATAAGACCCTGTCATACTTTTTTGAACCCTGAAATAAGTGCTTGGCCTTATTATTTTGGGGTGTGTGGAGCAAGATGGGGCTCCTCTTGCTACCTTACCTGATTTCCAGCTCTGTCTCCCTAACCCTAACCAGAGGAAATGGCGGGGACCGGCTGCACACACGTTTAAATTATTTTTGGGGAGGGCTTATTTTTTGGGGGAGGCTTATTTTAGCCCATGCGCACAAAAGCCCAATTGGGCTTATTATCTGGGGAGGTCTTATTTTCAGGAAAACAGAGTACGAGTCAGTTTCCAAGCATCTGAATTTTAATCACGTGGCCATGGGGGATGCCGCCTAGGTCGTAAGCATAAAAAACAAATCATAAATCACTTTTTTCAGTGTTATTGTAGCTTCGCTGGCTGAGGAATTCTGGGAGTTGAAGTCCACAAGTCCTAAAAGTTGCTAAGATTGGAGACCCCTGCCTTAAAGAACAACTTGTACTAGACAACAGGTAGTTCTCTACTTGCAACCAATTTATTTAGCGACCGTTTGAAGTTATAACAGCACTGCAAAAAGGGACTTACAAAACCAGCCCTTGCAACTGTCACATCTGATCAAAATTCTGGCGCTTGGCAACTGGCATGTACTTGTGACGGTTGCAGCATCCCGGGGGCCACGTGATCCATCAACCTTCTCAGCGGGCTTCCAACAAGCTAAGTCAACGTAGGAACCCAAATTTGTGTAACAACTGCAGTGATTCGCTTAACAACCATAGCAAAAAAAAATAAATAAAAAGCTTGTCAGATGGAGCACAATGGATGTAACACCTGCATTGCTTTAGCAAATGGAAATTCTGGTCAATTGTGGTTGTAAATTGGGACTTACCAGTGGTGGGTTTCAATTTTTTTTACTACCTGTTCTATGGGTGTGGCTTGGTGGGCGTGGCTTGGTGGGCGTAGCAGGGAAAGGATACTGTAAAATCTCCATTCCCACCTCACTCCAGGGGAAAGGATACTGCAAAATCCCCATTTCCTCCTGATCAGCTGGGACTTGGGAAGCAGAGAATAGATGGGGGCAGGGCCAGTCAAATTTCCGCTACCAGTTCTGCAGAACTGGTCAGAACCTGCTGAAACCCATCTCTGGGACTTAACCTGTATCAAAAATCGTTGTAGAGTTTGCATGACATAATAATAGGTGACCTAAATGGCAAATTAATGGGACCCCAGTAGACAAGGTACATACTTTTAAATATTTTGGGGTGCGGTTTCAGGCTTCCTTATCTTGAGGAACATATTTTTAGTTATTCGGCAAGAGCGATCCAGTATAACTTCACAGCTGTCTTTGAGATTTTCTATTTAGAGGGGGACACATTAAATTCCTGCAGCTTGCAAGGTTTTTCTTGCTGAGGTCATCTCTCAGCTTCTTTATGGTATTCCAATTTGCATTTCGACAAAGTTTTAATAAGCTGGAAACTTTCCAGTCCAAATTTATAACAGCAGCACTTACAGCTCCATAATGCACCAAGAATGCTATTTTACAGTTAGAGACAGATTTGGTTTCTGTGAGTGCCAAACCCCAGTTCTATCTTCTTAATTTCCGGTTGATATTGATTTCTCCTCCCCCCCCCCTTCTCTCTCCACTGATTCTCGGAGACCGTTTTAAATCAACTTGGCCAAGAAAAGGAAATAGCAAATTCCAGTCCTTGGTACTTTTGGGGAAAGTGTCCGTCCATTAGGCCTTGAAAATGCAAGGTGTGATTTGTAAACTGTTGGATATTGATACTAATAAAGGATAATATTTGTAGCTCAGGGTTGACATGAGAGGGTCCTTGGTGCTCTCTGAATTTGCTTGTTTTTTGCAGACATTTCATTACCCAGCTAGGTAACATCATCAGGCCTAGTGTTGGGATATGGCATATTGATTTTCGAACCAGTGTAAGCCCAGTAGCCATCCCTACATTTTGTGGATTTGTCTCAAATGGGCGTGCGCCATCCTCATACCTACCATATTTTTCGGAGTATAAGACGCTCCGGACTATAAGACGCACCTACCCTTTTTGGTGAGGAAAACAAGAAAAAGAACTCTGCCTCTGCCTCCCAGCAATTTTGCCTCATTGCAGCAAACAGCGAATAGCCTGCTTTACTTTCATTGTCGTTTTCAGCATAGCTTGATTAGCACAAGAAAAAAAAAATCTGCTCCCAGCAATTTACCTCCTTGCAGCAAGCAGCAGAGTCTGGCGCAGCAATAGCCAATGCAATCCCTGCAGCCTGAAACAGCTTGGAGTCAGGAGGCCAATGCAACCAACAATCAACTTGTGCTAATTAGGCTGTGCTGAAGCTGAAATGGGCTGTTTGTTCTTGCTCCTTGCTGGGAGGAGGTAAACTGCTGGGAGGCAGAGGCCAAAGGGTGGGGGGCCAGTGGGTGGGCGGGGCTACACTCTGTGTATAAGACGCACCTAAATTTTCATCCCCTTTTAGGGGGGAAAAGGTGGGTCTTATACTCCGAAAAATACGGTAATTGTGAAATTTCGTCAGGCCTTCACCTTGACCAGGGTGGATGCTCCACCCTCTGCAGTCCTGTAGAGATGATATAAAAATATTCCTTTTCAGCAGTATTTTTGTTTACATGGAGAGAGACACTCACCTAAACCAGATGCTCTTTTATTGCCCTCTCTACAGGGAATCGAGGAAGATAAGATAGATGGATCCCATTTTAAACAATCTGCCGTTTAAAAAAAGCACAATCCCCGTCACTGTTTTTGTCTGATTGCAACCCGGACAGATCATTCCAGGCTGCCCAACTTGGTGCTATCATTGTCGTATCCGCCCTAACTACGGTTGAAATTTCGCACAGTTTGGTCGCCCCAAAAGTGCTTTTCCAAACGGCGACTGGAATTTCTTGGTTATTTCCTTGGAAACCATTTTTTGCTTCTCATCCAAGAAGCTTTTTCAAAAGTTCAGAAGAACCAAAGAACTTTCTTCGACGAGAAGCTAAAAGGTTTTCCCCGGGGTGGGGGGTGGGGGTGGAACCCCAAGAAAGTCCAGGTACCATTTTGGAAAAAACACCTTTGGAACAACCGTGACCTGAAGGATTGAGGGTCTCCGCAGACATTCACACGTTTTGGTGATTGCCAGTGCCGTTTGTATCTCAGTTACATTATATACAAATAGGTAAAGTTCCCCTCGCACATATGTGCTAGTCGTTCCCGACTTTAGGGGGCGGTGCTCATCTCTGTTTCAAATCAGAAGAGCCAGCATTGTCCGAAGACGTCTCCGTGGTCATGTGGCCGACATGACTCAACGCCAAAGGCGCATGGAATGCTGTTACCTTCCCACCAAAGGTGGTCCCTATTTTTCTACTTGCATTTTTTACGTGCTTTCGAACTGCTAGGTTGGCAGAAGCTGGAACAAATAACGGGAGCTCACCCCATTACGCGGCACTAGGGATTCGAACCACTGAACTACTGACTTTTCGATCGACAAGCTCAACGTCTTAGCCACTGAGCCACCGCATCCCTACCTTACACACTAATAGTAAGATACTAATAGTGTACCTTACATACTTTTAGTGCACTTTTTTTTTAAAAAAAAGCTTTGTTCATAATATCAGGTGACGGTTGTGCTTTCTGGCCCCTGGGCCCTAATGAAGGCTTTGATTTGCTCACTCAGCTACTGTGTCCAGGTGTGCCAAACAGTGCTTGCTTGTGACCTCATCGGTGGCTGCTAAGGATCTGTCTTCCCTTTCCTCCCTCCTGCAGCCTCCCACCCTGGGCGTTTAGGGCCAGGAGGAAGAAAGTGCTTCCTCCTGGCCTCAGCCCTGTGGTAGGGCGGGAGGGAGGGCGAGCCCGGGAGAAGTGCCAAGCTTTGAAAGACATGGCAGCTGGCTTCCGGGAGGTTAGCCCCCTGTCATGGGTAGCGTGAAGCCCTTGCCAAGGACGAGTTGTTGTTGGTTGACTTCAGGCCTTGACGTGGTCCACGGGCAGCTGGCAGTTCCCTTTCCTGACCTCCGCCTTCAAGATTGTCTCTACTTGTGTAAGATATCTGGATGGGCCAGAATCTCTTTTAACGTTGTTGAGTAAGCCTGTAAGGTGAGATTAGAGAAGCCCGCAGAAGTCTCGAGAAACGATCTACAAGCGGTGATACCCAGAGAGTTTGAACAACATCCCGAGGAGTTGTTGGTAGCTTGAAATACATCCTAAGCATCCGCCGGCATTCTGCTCATGTGTCGTTTTTGTACGGCCGTTCTTGGAACTTAACTATGCTGAGCTGAAGAATTTGGGGTGGGTGGGTGAGGGGGTTAGATCCATTAAGGCAGACTTCTCTCCAACTTTTCCGGCTTTGTGGTCCTGGCCAGAGTGGGGGAGAGGAGACGGTCCCAGGTGAACAGAGGGCAAGCACATGCGCAGCTCTGTTTGCACAAGCGGCGGACACTTACGTCCACCCCTCTGCAAATGCAATGCGGGTATACCCATTTGCACGTGCAATCATGGATTGGCAAGCATGCTTGCCTACCACTTCTGCAACCCAGTTCCAAACGGTAATGGGCCTTGGCCCGAGAGTTGGGGACCCTGGCATTAAGGGTTATGGGTCGATGCCTGTATCCTAATGGTTGCACTAAACCCAAAATGCTTGTAGGCATCTCTCCAAGCTTTGTTTACCCTGCGTAAAGCATATTTTCTCTCCCCCCCTCCCCCTTTCTGGTCCAGCAGATCCGAATACGAGATCCAAATCAGGGTGGCAAAGATATCACAGAGGAAATAATGTCTGGCGCTAGAACTTCTTCTACCCCAACTCCTCCTCAGGTAAGGCAGTTTCTTTCATCAACTCTCTTCCAAACTTGCCTTGCCTTGCCTGATAACAAGTATGTGTTTTTTCTGGTGTTTATAATACAAAAGCTCTAAATCACAGCCAACTTTTGTAATGGGTGAGCACTCGTAATCACCAAGGAGCCTTGGTGGTGCAGCGGACTCAAGTGCCGTTAAAGTAGCACTTAGCTGCCAGCTGCCTGCAATTACTGCGAGTTCAAATCTCACCAGGCTCAAGGTTGACTCAGCCTTCCATCCTTCCAAGGTAGGTAAAATGAGGACCCGGATTGTGCGGGCAATAAGCTGACTTTGTATTAAAAAAAAGAACACCACTTAGGGGGGGGCGAAAACCCTACTAAGCAGGTATATACAAAAGGATGAAGGCTATTGCTTAACGCATTGTAAGCCGCCCTGAGTCCCTGGAGAAGGGCGGCATATAAATCGAACCAATAAATAAATAAATAAATAATAAATAAATCCATCTTGATGCAGGAAGAATAACAGAGTTGGAAGGGATCTTGGAGGTGGTCTAGTCCAACCCCCCCCAAGCTCAGGCAGGAAACCCTCTACCATGCCAGACAAATGGCTCTCCAATCTCTTCTTTAGAAATTCCAGTGTTGGAGCATCCACAACTTCTGGAGGCAAGCTGTTCCACTGGAATCATTGTTAATAAAGAGCAGGAAATTTCTCCTTAGTTCTAGGTTGTTTTTCTCCTTGATTAGTTTCCACCCATTGCTCCTTGTCCTGCCTTCAGGTGCTTCGGAGAATAAGTTGACTCCTCTCTTCTTTGTGGCAGCCCCTGAGATATTAGGATTATTATTATTTATCGTATGGCACATTCACATCACATTTTGATTAAAACACACAGATAAAAATGCAAGAGCCTTGGTGGCGCAGCGGACTCAAGTGCTGTTAAAGTAGCACTTAGTTGCCAGCTGCCTGCAATTACTGCAAGTTCAAATCTCACCAGGCTCAAGGTTGACTCAGCCTTCCATCCTTTTGAGGTAGGTAAAATGAGGACCCGGATTGTGGGGGCAATAAGCTGATTTTGTATAAAAAAGAACACCGCTTAGGGGGTGGGCGAAGGCCCTACTAAGCAGGTATATACAAAAGTATGAAGGCTATTGCTTAACGCATTGTAAGCCGCCCTGAGTCTCCGGAGAAGGGCGGCATATAAATCGAACTAATAAATAAATAAATAAATAAAATATGAAACATAAAATATAAAATATTATAAACGTAATGCCTAGATTACAGATATAATTTTTTGCTTAATTTGTTGCAGCCAGGAAATTAGCAAAGTCTCCTTTATAAACTCTGACACTATATGTTAGATAGTTTGTTTTTCGGCCCCACAATCACAATTTGGTGAGGGGGCACACTTATAGGGGGGCATCAGCATGCCTGTCATGGCCAAATTCAGTTCAGTGTTGTCCATATCGCACAGGGCTGGTCAAATCCAGGCATGTGTTTTTTCAAGATGAAGGCAAACCTTGACATTGTGGGGATGGCAATTTTTGATCCAATGTTGTTTCCACATAATACAGGTAGTCTTGAACTTACAACTGTTCATTTAGCGGAGCGTTCAAAGTTACGGTGGCACTGAAAAAGTGACATGACTGTTTTTCACTCTTATGACCGTTGTAGCATCCCCATGACCTTGTCCCTTTTCCTCACCAGGTAGGCCGTGTTGTGACCTAGGCCCAAGTAGGTATTATCTGACACAGTCAGTTCTAAACAAACTTTATTAGAACAGCTGAGAATTAACTCATTCTCAGCGTCGTCCAAACTAATTCAAAACAAATTCTTCATAACACAATTTTTCAGCCTTATCACCAACCTTGGTCTAATTAGGCAACCTGCCAAAGGCTTTTCTTGACAAAAGTTCAGAAGATACTGACAAGAAACAAATCTATCAACGTTGTTTTCCGACAAAGAGCCTAAGAGCCATTGCTGGTCTTTTAAGCCTTATGGGAGGGGCCAATCATCTCTTGGCCTTACTCCTGAGTTGTCCTTTTTGTTTTAGCTTGCCTTCTTGCCTTCTGGCAGGTCTCATGCGTGCACTAGGAACAGGCTCCTCCTGTTTCTCTGCCTCTCTGCTGTCAGCCTCTGGTGGCTCCGGAGTCCGCACATCACTCCCCGATGGCCCTGGCCCCATCTCTGCCTCCGACGCAGAGCCCTCATCCGGGCCTTCCCCAGCCTCCAGGACTGGCCCATGTTCTTCCTCAGCCTCATCGCTGTCCGACTCCGCTGCCAGCTCCGCAGGCTGCAGGCGGACCACAACAGGCCGTGACTGACCACATGTTAAAAAGTCCATGCCACTCTTGCAACTCAGCGTTCCCCAATCCCTTAATAGGTTGAAACTGCTCTTTCGGGATTACTAAGGAGAAAATTCTAGGAATTGCTGTCCCAGCACCTAGAAATTTGCGTTCATCTATATCTGATGTAGCTAGAATAAATTATCTGCTCGCTCACTCTGTCTGTGTGTGTGTCTGAGAGAGAGAGAGAGATTGATTCATATTTGTTTTCTTGCTAATCTTTCTTTCCTCCTGTTTTCCTAGGCCGGAAGCGGTTCAGAGCCACAGGCCAACGGGGAGACACCTCACGTAGCAGTTATTGTCCGCCAAGGTATGATGATGAAACATTGAATTGGCCAGATGTATCTGTGTGAGATAAGTGCAGCCTCAGCCTCACTTTCGTCTGTCCATAGAGAGGGTTGGAGATGAACTTTTATAACACTTAAAGAGCCATGGGGGCGCAGAGGTTAGAATGAAGTATTGCAGGCTAATTCTGCAGTCAGTTCGATTCTGACCGGCTCAAGGTTGACTCGGACGTCCATCCTTTCGAGGTCAGTAAAATGAGGGCCCGGATTGTTGGGGGCAATATGCTCTGTAAACCACTTAGAGAGGGCTGAAAAGCGCTGCGAAGCAGTATATAAGTCTTAAGTGCTATTGCTAGTGCTATTTTCCATATAATCAGAAAGAAAAACAGCTTTTCTTTGTTCCTCTTGTGTGTCCAAGGCTTTTGGGAGATCTACTCAGTACTGGTAGTCCTTGACTTAACAAGAGTTCATTTAGTGACTGTTCGATGTTACAACAGCATCCCCGTGGTCACATGATCAAAATTCATACGCTTGGGTAAAACTTTTCCAATAAAAAAAAAAAAGAAGGAATGCTTAAACAAAACATTAGAAAAGGAAAAAAGTACCTAACATTACATATAATCACGGCGGCTAGGTTAACCCTAGCACAAGTCTGGAAAACAGATCAATTGCCAACGGAGCAGCAAATAATTCAAAAAATTTATACATGTGCAGAAATGGATAGACTAACGTTGAAATTGAAAGACAAGGAAGACTCAGTATTTTAAGGTATGGGATAGTTGGTATGAGTGGATAAACCAATTGGTATGAAAAGAAGGTAAAGTTAAAATCTAGTAAGAAATTAAAAGTAATAATTATACACCGTCATTAAGATGAAAAAGGAAATAAGTCACTGTGTATGTTTGTATTTATATATGTTACATATATGTAGTTTGTTTGTTGTGATTAGTATTGTTGATTGTATTTTAAGGTTGTGAATGTTTTATATAATTTTATCTTTTAAATGTAATAGTTTGTTTAAAAAAAAAAAAATTCATACGCTTGGCAACTGGCTCGCATTTATGACGGTTGCAGTGTCCCAGAAGTCACAATCTCCTTTTGCGACCTTCTGACAAGCAAAGTCAATGGGGAAAGCCAGATTCACTTCAACTATAGTGATTTGCTTAACAACTGTGGCAAGAAAAGTCATAAAATGGGGGCAAAACTCACTTAACAAATGCCTCAGCCACAGAAATTTGGGGCTCGATTGCGGTTGTAAGTCGAGGACTGTCTGTACGATATAATCCTGAATCCTATCCCGAGATTCTTGGTCCCATCTGGAAACTCAAGGAGGTGGTTTGCCCATGGATCAGACTTCAGCAGAGCATGGGAAGTAACTCCGGAAGACGTTGCTAATTAAATTACTGGTGATGGAATTCAGCTTTCTTTTGTGGTTTAGAGCAGCAATCTCCATTATGGCAAGTTTCAGACTTGTGGGCTTCAAGGAGGGGAGTAGAGTAGAGTAGAGTAGAGTAGAGTAGAGTAGAGTAGAGTAGAGTAGAGTAGAATAGAATAGAATAGAATAGAATAGAATAGAATAGAATAGAATAGAATAAACAGAACAGAACAGAACAGAACAGAACAGAACAGAACAGAACAGAACAGAAGAAAATGAGTAGAATGGAATGGAATGGAATGGAATGGAATAGAATAGAATAGGACAAGGAATGGAATGGAATGGAGTAGAGTAGAGTAGAATAGAATAGAATAGAATAGAGCAGAATAGAACAGAACAGAACAGAATAGAATAGAATAGAATAGATAGAATAGAATAGAATAGAATAGAATAGAATAGAATAGAATAGAATAAAATGAGCTGGAGGTCTTCTAATCCAGCCCCCTTCTCAAGCAGGAGAATCTATACCAGATAAGTGACTGTCTAGGCCGGTGATGGCGAACCTGCGGCACGCGTGCCCAAAGTGGCACGCAGAGCCATGTCACCTGGCACGTGTGACGTCGCCCGTTCCTCTTCCGGGTTTCTGGCACATACGCATGCGTGACAGTCACCTGGCCTTTGTGCATGCATCAGTGCTGGAAATCGGAAGAGCTGTTCTTCCATTTTCCAGCATGAGCATGTGCACTGGCCAGCTGATCGGCGTGTGCGCATGCTGGCCGGCGCCCACGTGAGCGTTGGGAACCGGAAGTACAGCAATCGCCAGCAGATTGGCGCATGCACAGCAGTAACCTGTAGACCTGCCAGCAGTAATCTGAAGAAACCGCAAGTATATTCTCCGGCGCATGCATACCCTGGACAATTCCTATTCCTGGTCTCAGTCCAGACGAGCATATGCGAAGTGCTCCCTTTTTGGCACTCGGTGCCAAAAAGGTTCGCCATCACTGGTCTAGGCTCTTTTTAAAAACCTCCAGTAATGAAGCACCCACAACATCTGAAGGCAAGCTGTTTCACTGGTTGAATTGTCCTCACTGTTAGGAAGTTTCTCCTCAATTCCAGGTTGCTTCTCTCTTTGATTAGTTTCCGTCCATCTTTTTTTTCTTGTCTTGCCTTCTGGCGCTTTGGAGAATAAGTTGACCCCCTCTTCTTTGTGGCAGCCCCTCAAATACTGGAATTCTGCTATCATGTCACCCCTAATTCTTATTTTCTTTAGACTAGCCCAGTGATGGCTAATCTTTTTGCCCTCGCGTGCCAAAAGTGGGGGGGAGTGTGGGGGGTCGCGGGTGCGGGTGCCCACATCCATTATTCAATGCGCCCTGCCCTCTCGCGCATGCGCACGTGACCCCCCCCACACACTTCCCCCTGCTTTTGGCACACAATGGCATGGTGGCCTCGGTAGGCCCGTTTTTCCCCCTCCCTAGGCTCCAGAGGTTTCTAGGAGCCTGGGGAGGGCAAAAACAGCCTTCCCCATTCCCCTGGAGGCCTTCCGGAGTCCGAAAACAGCCAGTTTCCCAACTTCCGGAGGGACAGGAAGGCCTGAAAATCAGTTGGCCGGCGCGCACATGCGTGCTGGAGCTGAGCTAGGGCAACACGTGCCATCACGGGACTAGCCAAACCCAAATCCTGCAACTGTTCTTCACACGTTTTAGTCTCCAGGCCTTTGATCATTTTAGTTGTTCTTCTCTGAACTTTTTCCAAAGAAGTTGAGGAATTCTGGGAGTTGAAGTCCACAAGTTTTAAAGTTGCCAAGTTTGGCGACCCCTGGTTTAGAGGTTTGCCGTGGTGTTTGGTTTTTAAACCAATGTCAGAAGAAAGCTTCGTTTAAGATGTACATTTTAGGATTCTTGGCAAACAGATTAAAAATAAATAAATAGAAGAACTGCATAGTTGATCCAACTGCAGAGCAATTTCAATGACTGATTCAGTTGCTTGGTGGCTACTGTTTTTTTCCTAAATATTTGTTTAGGAAAATTTATTACATTAATATTAAGTTAATTAATATTAAAGTATTAACATTACATTACATTAAATTAATTTGCTTGGAATGTTGCTTTTTGGAAAAACAAGTTCTCGAAGTTGAAAGGCCACATTCTTAATCTGGGGTGTATCTTCCCTAAGTGCCATCAATATTTAAAGCAGGAACTTCGGCTCCTGTTTGTGTCTCATTTATCAGTACTCTATGCATTCTTTTGCAGAATGGGTAGACACCAGTCAATGCAAAATGTAATTGATTGGACAAAGCTGAAAGGCACAGGGGTTTTTTGTTTTTTGCATATTGGCTTGAATTCATTCCTGTCCTCGTAGGGATCTATGGTAAACTTTTGTATCTCTATAGGAAGATTGTGTAACTTGAAGTCAACCTTTTCTTATTAATGAGAGTAACTGGTGTAACTCATGTACAGATAGTCCTTGATTTATGACCACAATAGAGCCCAGAATTTATGTTGCCAAGTGAGAAATGAGTTTTGTCCCATTTTACGACTTTCCTTGCCACATTGGCTAAGGGAATCACTGCCGTTGTTCAATTAGTAACACGGTCATTAAGCAAACCTGGCTTCCCCCATTGTCTTTGCTTGTCAGAAGGTCGCAAAAGATGATCGCATGACTCCAGGACACTGCAGCCATCCTAAATATGAATCAGTTGCCAAGCATCAAGTTGGATCACAGGACCATGGGGATGCTGCAACGGTCATAAGTGTGAAAAATGGCCATCAGTCATTTTTTTTCAGTGCCGTTGTAACTTCAAATGGTCACTAAATGAACTATTGTAAGTTGACTACCTGTAGTTGGACGTTCATAGAACATAGAATAATAAGATTGTAAAGGGACCTTGGAGATCTTCTAGTCCAACCCCAAACCCCTTCGGATAAATGTCTGTCCAGTCTCTTCTTAAAAACCCACAACTTCTGAAGGCTGTTCCACTGGTTAATTGTTCTCATCTCAGGAAATTTCTCCTTAGTTCTAGGTTGCTTCTCTCCTGGGTTAGTTTCCATCCGTTGTTTCTCATCTTGCCTTCTGGCGCTTTGGAGAATAGGTCGACCCCCTCGTCTTTGTAGGAACCCCTCAAATATTGGAACACTGCTATCATGTCTCCCCTGTCAGGGTTCCAAGTAACACCCCCAACGAAAGAAGACTCCGAGGATTGAAGTTCCTCAAAGTTCCATTTTATTAGAGATGTCATATTGGCACATCTGGGAAAGCCCAAATCTGAAAGCTTCCAGGTTTTCCCCACCCAAAGGAAAGTCCCTGCCCAACACCCACATGTCCATCACATGGTCTAATCCAAGCACCGTCCCAACTGGAGATGCCTCTCAGTTCCAACCATCCAAGTGCAGGGCAAGATGGCCTTGACTCTCTGAGAAAGGAATGTTATTATGACTACATATCACCCTTGATCCATACAATCCCCCTTCCCAGTTTCCCACAGTAGTAAATGTGGCAGGCCTGATGATCCAACGAAAAAGATGGCTTCCAGGCCTGATATCCTCGTTTTTCATTTTACACTTTTTCATTTTACACTGGCTTAAAAAGGCACCACTGCTGAGATATTTGGCCATAGCCAATTTCTCATATATATTTTTTGTTAAAAAAACCAAAAGCAGTGTTTGAAATATTACATGGATATGTTTGGCAAGGTCGAGAAAAACAAGAACGGTATAGTGAATAATACAAAGGTAAAATAGGTTTATTAACTGTATATTCCCTTTTATAGGATAATTAACTGTATTTCCTTTTCGTTCTTTTGCCTGAGTTTCTTTGCCTTACGCAGTAATTTTATTTCTCCCCTTTCTATGCTGTGTTTTGCATTATTGAGTCTGAAAGGGAATACAGGTAGTCCTTAACCTACAACCACAATTGAGCCCAAAATTTCTGTTGTTAAGTAAGGCATTTGTTAAGTGAATTTTGCCTCATTTTACGACCTTTTTTGCTACATTTGTTAAGTGAATCACTGCAGTTGATAAATTAGCAATGTGGTTGTTAAGTGAACCTGGCTTCCTCATTGACTTTGACATGATAATGGGATGCTGCAAAGGTCATAACTGTTTGTATGTTTTTATCTGGCTGTACACCGCCCTGAGTCCCTTGGGAGAAGGTGCGGTATATAAATTCGAAATAAAATAAAAATAAAATAAAATAAAAATAACTGTGACAAAAGGCCATAAGTCATTTTTTTCATTACTGTAGTAACTGTGGATGGTCACTAAGTGAACTGTTGTAAATCATGGACTACCTGTAGTATGTCCTATGTATGGATATCAGCCCAGTTCAGGCAACCTATGCAAAACAGATCCTATGTGCTTTCTAGTCTATGGCCACTAGGAGGCAGACTCTTTTAAAATGGATCAGCCAAGACAGGAGTGAGAAATACTGAGCACCATGGCGCAGTGGTTAGAGTCAGTACTGCAGGCTACTTCTGCTGCCTGCCGGCTGCCTGCAATTTGGCATTTCAAATCTCACCAGGCTCAAGGTTGACTCAGCCTTCCATCCTTCCGAGGTGGCTAAAATGAGGACACAGATTGTTGGGGGCAAGAGGCTGACTCTGTAAAACCCCTTAGAGAGGGCTGTAAAAGCACAGTGAAGTGATATATAAGTCTTAAGTGCTATTGCTATTTCCCGTTGCTAAGCGAGACAGTTATTAAGTGAGCTTCGCCCAGTTTTATGACCTTTCCCGCCACAGCTGTTAAGTGAATCAGTGTAGTTGTTAAATTAGTCAAACTCTTGTTACTTAACTAACAATTGCGGTTGTTAAGTCGAGGGCTACTTGTACAGGTAGCCCTCGACTTACAACAGTTCATTTAGTGACCATTCAAAGTTACGGCATGGCTGGAAAAAAGTGACTTTTGACCCATTTTTCACACTTAAGACGGTTGCAGCATCCCCAGGGTCACGTGATCCTCTTTTGCGACCTAACAAGCAAGGTCAACGGGGAAACTCGATTCACTTAACAACAGTGTCACTAACTTAACAACTGCGATGATTCACCCAACGACTGTGGCAAGAAAGGTCGTAAAATGGATCAAAACTCACTTAACAACTGTCTCATTTTAGCAACATAAATTTTGGGCTCAAATTGTGGTCGTGAGTCGAGGACTACCTGTAGTCGAGTCCAGTTTTCCTCTGAGCCTCTGCTGTATTCTCTCACTCCTCTTAGGCTGCTATCACAGCCTAGCTCTCTAGTACCAACTCCATCCTTCCTGTCCATCCTTAGCAGTGAGGCCAACAATGATCTACAGTGTTTCCCCCGAAAATAAGACATGCCACGACAATTAAACCCTCCCCAAAAATATTTAAATGCATGTACAGCCTCTCCCTGCCATTTCATCTGGTTAAGGTTAGGGAGACAGAGCTGGAATTCAGGTAAGAGGAGCCCCATCTTGCTCCATGACCCCAAAATAATAAGACCTCTCTGAAACTAAGGCCAAGCACTTATTTCAGAATTCAAAAAAAAAAATAAAAATAAGACAGGGTCTTATTTTCGGGGAAACATGATATTACTTCAGGAGCTGCTGTTAAGACTTAGAAGAGAATACAGTATTGCAGGCTGATTCTGCCCAGTCAGGAGTTCGATCCTGACCAGCTCAAAGTTTGACTCAGCCGTCCACCTTTCCGACGTCAGTAAAATAGGGAGCCAGATTGTTGGGGGCAATAGGCTGACACTGCAAACTGTTTCGAGAGTGCTGTAAAATGGAACGGTACTTGCTATTGCTAACTGCTATTTATAAGAACCGCCATTTTCTAAACAAAAATAAATTGTTGTGTTTTGGAGGACTCGACCCCCTTTTTCTTTCTCTTTCCCACCAGATGACCGTTCCAAGACCGGCCCAGTAGTAAGTAAACCGGTATCCTTGGAGACTAGTAAATCGGCTTCCCCATCTCCCCCTCCGCCCCTAACCGAGGTGGAGCCTGTGCAGCCGGCCACTGTGACGCTGGTGCGCCCAGAGAGCCCTGTTGCCGTGGACACTAGAGAGGAGCTGCTGGAGGTCCCTGAAGACATCCTCGAGCCCGTTAGTACCACCACTACAGTGCCAGGAGGGCTTGTGCCCCCTCCGGAGTCCTTTGTTTTGGACACAGAACCTCAGGAAGAGGTCGCTGCTAGCCCTGTTTTGGAGATTCCTTCCCAGCCGCCCCCAGAAACACAGGTGGACGAAGAGGTGGTAGCAGAAGAGACGGTGGTGGTTACCCAACCGGAGGCTGTTCAACCCGAGGAGCCTCCCGTAACGCTGCCGTGCGCCCCTCCCGCTCCTTCTCCTCCGCTGGAGGAGGTGGCCGAAGGGGAGGCCGTCGAGTCGAATGGGGTCTTAGAGGAGGAGCTGCTGGAGGCAACGCCCGAGGTGCCCCCGTGTGAGCCAGAACCAGCCATGGAATCCCCCATTGCTCAGCCGGAAGAGCAGGCAATCCCTGCAGGGCTTGAGACCCCAGAGAAAATAGAGGCCGAAGAGCCGGAGGAACAGCCCGAATCGGATATCAGCCCCATCTCTGAACCCGAAGAGGTGAAGCCCGAGGAGGTGATTGTCCCAGCGGCCGCGCCTGCTGTAGAAGAGGAGGCGGAGCCAGAGGAGGAAGTGGAGGAGACGGTCGAGGTCCCGGAGCAGATTGCCGAACCGGTGGCTGCACCCTTGGAGACCACGGAAGTGACGACGCAAGGTGAGTATCCATAGCACGTTTTCCATCCCCACCCGGATGCAATCTTTAAGAAGTCTGGTGATTTGCAGAATGAGGGGGGTGGGGGGGTCCTTGGTGCTCTCCGAGCTTGGCTGTTTTCCTGCAGACATCTCATTAGCCAAACGAGGTAACATCATCAGTGCTAGTAAGGAGTGGGGTTTGTTCTCAGTTTAGTAGCTTGCCCTGCCGGTATTGATGGAAGTGTAGTTTTTTTTTTTTTCCTTGTTAGTTCCTCGATTATTGTTTTTGCTTCTTTTGTCTGGTGTTAATCCCTGCTTATCTACGTGTTGTTTGCTGGAGAAGTACAAACTACAAGGAGAAAAACTACACCTCTACCAACAGGGCAAGCTACTGTCTATAAACTGAGAGCAAAGCCCACTTCCTTCTAGAACTGATAATGTTACATAGTTGGGTAATGAAACGTCTGCAAGAAAGCATCCAAACTCAGAGGACCCCACAGTTTAATCCTGAGTTACTGTTCTGATCTAGGCTTCCCCAGCAGCACGAAGCCTTGTCCTGATAAACCCCTTTTATTTAATTTACAGTGAATTCCTCTCCAGCAAAGTCTTTCCTCTCCCACAGTCTTTCAAGATTAGTTCACAATTACCGACCTTTATCACGCTTGGAGAGTGGCCAGGCCGATATCTTTCAGAGGCCGCAATACTTGGCAAGAATGCAGAAATGAACTAATTGTCTCCTGCAAACTCCCCTCCCCTTTTGCTCCTCTTTTATTTCCCCTGGGAGGGGCCATTCACCATCCACCTGTGGCTTTACTCCTGAGTCGACCCTTGTTCTTTAGCTGTTCCCTTCGTCTGGCAACTCTGTGCATGTGCACACTGGGAACAGGATCCAGCTGTTCGTCTGCCTCACTGATGTCTGACTCCAAAGGCAGCTGATACCTGTCAGACAGCCCTGGCCCCCTCTCTGCCTCCGACGCAGAGCCCTCATCAGAGCCTTCCCCAGACTCCAGGACTGGCCCATGTTCCTCCCAAACCTCCTCACTATCCGAATCTGCTGCCAGCGGGCCACAACAGTTACAAATATTCTCTTTTCTGGGTGGTATTTCCTGTACACCAAGGAATTTATTGTCTTCAGAGCATTTAGGCGCTTCTGCCTTTGCTGCCTTGGTCCCTTTCGATCTTCTAACAGGCTCAAGGGCTGTTGTCCCAAAATATCCCAAATAGATGCTACGGCTTCTTCCTGGGATGCAACGTCCTCTTATCTCTGCCATGAGTTAGGCTTCTTTTTCTAACCCTTGGAAAATGGCTTCAGAGCATGACTTCGCACTAACTTCTTGTTTGTTGCCTGGAGTGTCTTTCCCCGTTAATCTGGACTTTTCCGTCGCTCATGTGCCTCTCCATCCCTCTGTATAATTCCCTAGTAGCCGTATCGGTGCCAAAGAGGAAGCGAAAGTTGAAGGATCTGAACAAGAAGGAAGCCGTTGGAGATTTGCTGGATGCGTTCAAAGAGGTGAGTAGCCTATACATTACCAGGGGGAAATTAATTACCGTATTTTTCGGACTATAAAATGCACCAAGATTTTGAAGAGGAAAAGAAGGAGAAAAATGTTTTTGCCCTCCCGGGCCCCAGGAGCACTCTGCAGGCCTACCAAACCCTCTGTGCGTCCTGTTTTTGCAATAATGGGATTCGCAGAGGGTTTGGGAGGCCTGGGGAGTGTTCCTGGGGCCCGGGGAGGGCAAAAATGCGATGCATGGGGGTTTGGGAGGTAAAAAGTGGGTCCATTTTTTGCAAAAACAGGAGCGTTTTTGCCCTCCCCAGCCTCCAGGAGCACTCTGCAGGCCTCCTAACCCTCTGCATGCCCCATGAAAAACAGGCCTGTTTTTGGCAAAAACGGGTAGAGTTTCGGGGGCCCAGAAATGGCTGTATTCAGTGTATAAGACGCACCAACATTTCCATCCTCTTTGGGGGGAGAAGTGAGTCTTATATTCCGAAAAGTACGTTAATGATTAATGCAATGAGTAATGCAATGTTTCTGAACCTTCACAACTCTTAAGATGACTGGGCTTCAGCTCCCAGAATTCCCCAGCCAGCCTGTAACAGAAATGACATTTCCTTGCCGGTGACAAAGGGTAACATGGAATTTGGTATGTGCCCGGCTGTTGCCAAGGCGCTTAAATTGATTGTGGTTTTTAAAGTAATCTTTGGAGGGCATTCTGAGAAGCTCACTTTTCATGATGAAAAACCTCAGATGCCAAAAGATGCCCACGGAACAGAATTTGTAGGGATCAGAGGAAGGGAGTTCAGTGCCACGTTTATCCCTTTTTAACTTCCTTCTTCTCTGTTTTCCATCGTACCGTAGTTAAATGTTTGTGCCATTCTTGGGTGGGCGTATGAATGTTTATCTATACACATAACACAGCTGTTGTTTTTAGAAACCTCTGTGTAAGCTATGGTCACTTATTTTGTAGGCCCATCAGTTCCGCTCTACTTAGGAGTCCTCTTCTAAGCATCCTGCAGGTTCAACTAATTGGATCTTGTATACTTTTGTTAGGATAGAAAGCAATGCAGGTAGTCCTTGATTTACGTCCACAATTGAGCCAAACTCAGTGAGTTCAGTGAGTTTTGCCCCATTTTACAGCGTTTCCTGCCACAATTGTTAAGGGAAGAAGGATGAGCAAGACCAAGAATTACACACACACACACACACACACACACAAACAAAATTTATGTCTATCTCTCTGTCATCTCTATATATCGTATTTTTTGGAATATAAAACACACTGGAGTATAAGACGCACCTTAGTTTTTTGGGAGGAATATAAGAAAAAAGCTGATTGGCAGGTGGATCGGCCTCTGTGCCTTGCTTTTTTTTTTGCTTTTTTTGTCTACCTCTGAAAGCCTCCGAAACAGCTTCAGAAAAAAAGCCTCTGAAGCTCTGTTTGGTGGCTTTTCTTTTCTGAAGCTTCGTTTCTGATGCTTTTTTCAGCCTCTGAAACCTCCGTTTGAGAAGATGGGCGGTGCTACATTTGGAGTATAAGATGCACCCAGATTTTCACCCTCTTTTTTGGGGGGGGGGGGGAAAGGTCCGTCTTATACTCCGAAAAATACAGTATCTATCTCTAATCTATCTGTCTATCTAATCATCTATCTGTCATTATCTCTGCCCTATCTATAATTATCATTATATATGTCTGTCTGTCTATCATTTTATCACCATCCATCCATCTATCACAGTGCTTTTGAAGTCATGAGCTGCATGTGAACCTTGTGGGCTTCCGTTGTCATTGTGGTCCTGTTGAAGAAAGCACCAATTTTGTTTTTTGAGCTTGGAGGTGCAGGATGAACACACCTCCTCCTGCAGAGAGAGAGGCGTTCCTTGCTACCTAGTTCTGTCCTTCATAGGATCTCTTCGGCTGTCCTTCCCTCTTAGGTCAGCGAGGGGGGCTCTGAGACTGAGAACAACCCCCCAGTGCCAGCCCCGGAGCCTGAGGAACCTGTCCCAGCTCGCTCCCAGGAGGAACCTGAGGAGTCGTGGGAACAGAAGGAGGATAAGATGGATCCCGAGAAGGTCAAGCAAGCGGATCAAAAGTACCGCTACAAGGAAGGTGAGCCAGGTCTGAGCCGCACTTACAATTTGGGAAAGATGGGGCGGGGGGGTGGAACTTCCCATTGAGCCTTCTGTGATGACCTCCTTTTTGAGCCATCGTGTCTGGGCCACTGATAACGCTGATGGAACTGAGGATCTGAGCAGACTCATTACCCAAGGACTGGTTGGCTTTTCTTAGAGTACTGCCATTTTTTTTTTTTAAATTTGATTTATATGCCGCCCTTCTCTGGAGACTCAGGGCGGCTTACAATGCGTTAAGCAATAGCCTTCATACTTTTGTATATTTATACAAAGTCAGCTTATTGCCCCCCACAATCTGGGTCCTCATTTTACCTACCTTAGAAAGGATGGAAGGCTGAGTCAACCTTGAGCCTGGCGAGATTCGAACCTGCAGTAATTGCAGGCAGCTGGTCTTAATAACCAGCTGAATAACAGGGTGCCTTAAATCACTGTGCTACCAAGGCCATGGATTCACAGGACTTTTTTTGCCATTACATACCCGTGTTTCCCTGAAAATAAGACCGGGTTCTTATGTCAATTTTTGCTCCAAAAGACAAATTAGGGCTTATTTTCCAGTTAGGTCTTAATTAGAATTAAAATTCTTTATTGGGCAAGTGTGATTAGACACACAAGGAATTTGTCTCTGGTGCATAAGCTCTCGGTGTACATACAACAATAGCGATAGATCATTATTGTAGTCATTGTAAAAATACAGTCATCATAACACATTAGATACAACATAGTGTAGTCGTATAGTGATAGTCGTGGATACTAAATAAGCAAGCAACATAAATCATACCGTGTTTCCCCGAAAATAAGACATCCCCAGAAAATAAGACCTCCCCGAAAATATTTAAACACGTGTGCAGCTGGTCCCTGCCATTTCCTCTGGTTAGGGTTAGGGAGACAGAGCTGGAAATCAGGTAAGACGGCAAGAGGAGCCCAGTCTTGCTCCACACGCCCCAAAATAATAAGACCTCCCTGAAAATAAGGCCACACACTTATTTCAGGATTCAAAAAACCCTGAAATATAAGGGTTTTATATAAGACAGGGTCTTATTTTCGGGGAAACGCGGTACTAGGCTACTAAGTAAACAATATAAATCGTAAGATACAAATAACAAAGTTATAGGAAGATGAGATAGGGAAGATGAGAATAATGATGGTAATGCTACCTTTCTAGATAGTTTGACAGTGTTGTGGGAATTAGTTGTTTAGCGGAATGATGGCATGGGGGAGGGGAACTGTCCTTGTGTCTAATTGTTCTGACATGCAGTGCCCTATAGCGTCGTTTTGGGGAAATATGGTACTAAAGGGCCTGGTGGCTCAGCAGACTGATAGCATTGTGATTAACACCAGCTGTCTGCAATTACTGTAAGTTCGAATCTCACCAGGCTCAAGGTTGACTCAGCCTTCCATCCTTTCTAAGGTAGGTAAAATGAGGACCCGGTTTGTGGGGGCAATAAACTGATTTTGTATAAAATATACAAAAGAATGAAGGCTATTGCTTAACGCATTGTAAGCCGCCCTGAGTCTCCGGAGAAGGGCGGCATATAAATCAAATTTTTTTTAAAAAATGCGTCCGTCTGCGTGACGATCTTAAACTGGTGCTTATTTTTGGGGTAGGGTTTATACTACGAGCATCCTGAAAAATCCCACTAGGGTTTATTATCCGTTTGGGTCTTATTTTCGGGAAAACACGGTTAACACATTTGAGTGTTAAATCCAGCAAACATCTAGATCATTATATCTCAACCTCAGCAACTTTTAAGATCTGTGGACTCGCAACTCCCAGAATTCCCCAGCCAGCATGGCTGGCTGGGGAATTCTGGGAGTTGGGAGTCCACACATTTTAAAGTGGTCATGGTTGAAAAACACTGGCCATGCAAACAAGCGGAGCTCCGTCCGCGGGATGCAGGCAGCACGTGAAACCACGCGCCCTCAGGTCTACGGGTTAAAAAACTCACTCCACAGAACCGGTCCCTGGTGCCTGAAAAGTTAGGGGCTGCCGATCTAGTAAACTACTTGAAGGATGCTCCGATTTTCAGCCTTTGTGCTCTCTTGTTTTCTTTCCGTTAACAGAGCAGTGGAAGCCCTTGAACCCCGAAGAAAAGAAGAGATACGACCGGGAATTCCTGCTGGGGTTTCAATTTATGTTCGCCAGCATGCAAAAGCCGGAAGGGTTGCCCCATATCAGCGACGTGGTCTTGGAAAAGGTCTGTCCCTCCACTTCCTTTTCCTCAGAGGTCCATCAGAATCCTCTCCCTCTCTCTCTCTCTCCCTCTCCCTCTCCTTCTCCTCTCTCTCTCTCTCTCTCCCCCTCTCCCTCTCTCCTACTCTCTCTCTCTCTCTCTCTCTCTCTCTCTCTCTCTCTCTCTCTCTCTCTCTCTCTCCTCTCTCTCTCTCTCTCTCTCTCTCTCCTCTCTCCTCTCTCTCTCTCTCTCTCTCTCCTCTCCCCCCCTCTCTCTCTCTCTATGACAACCACCACCAAAATGGTTATTGACTTTTGGACATGTCATTTTTCTTTCCACTGGTTTTTTTTTCTTCCCCTCAGAGAAGGTTCAGATTGGTAGAAAGACAATCCAGAAGGCCTATTGCTTCTGTTTCCTTGGTTATGTCCCAACTTCTGGGGTCTTTCCCTCCCTCCCCAAAACCATCCCTCAATCCCTCACTGACGTTCGGTCGGTTTGTGCTCTAACCTCTGGATTCAGCAGTTAGGATTGCCAGTCAAAATGGGAGCAGTGTGCCCTCCAGAGATTTCCCATGCCCATTAAAGAGCCAATTTGGTCTAGTGGTAAAAACACCACTTGCTCTACACAACAGTAGAGCAAGAGACTGTGAATTTTAGAATAGAATAGAATAGAATAGAATAACAGAGTTGGAAGGGAACTTGGAGGTCTTCTAGTCGAACCCCCTGCTTAGGCAGGAAACCCTATAACCACTTCCGACAAATGGTTATCCAACATCTTCTTAAAAACTTCCAGTGTTGGAGCATTTACAACTTCTGCAGGCAAGTTGTTCCACTGATTAATTGTTCTCACTGGCAGGAAATTTCTCCTTAGTTCTAAATTGCTTCTCTCCTTGGTTAGTTTCCACCCATTGCTTCTTGTCCTGCCCTCAGGTGCTTTGGAGAATAGTTTTTCTTCTTTGTGGCAACCCCTGAGATATTGGAAGACTGCTATCATGTCTCCCCTAGTCCTTCTCTTCATCAAACTAGACATACCCAGTTCCTGCAACCGTTCTTCATATGTTTTAGCCTCCAGTCCCCTAATCATTTTTGTTGCTCTTCTCTGCACTCTTTCCAGAGTCTCCCCATCCTTTTTACATTGTGACGACCAAATGCGGTGGCTCAGTGGCTAAGACGCTGAGCTTGTCGATGGAAAGGTCGTCAGTTCAGCGGTTCGAATCCCTAGTGCCACATAAACGGGGTCAGGTGCTTTGGAGAATAGCTTGACTCCCTCTTCTTTGTGGCAGCTCTTGTGAGCCCCTTTTAGTCCTGTCTTAGACATTAAAGCCAGCTGGGTGACTTTGGGCCAATCACAAGGAGACTGTGAGTTCTAGTCTCGCCGTAGGCATGAAAGCCGGCTGGGGGACTTGTGGGCCAATTTCCAGGAGACGGGGAGTTCCAGTTGTGTCTTAGGCATGGAAAGCTGGCTGGGTGATTTTGGTCCAATCACCAGGAGATGTTGAGTTCTAGTCTTGCCATAGGCATGAAAACTAGCTGAGTGACTTTTGGCCAGTCACACACTCAGCCCAACCCACTTCACAGGATTGTTGTTGTGGGGGGGAAAAAAATGAAGAGGAAGGTACGTTGTGTTGTTGTTCTGCCTGGAGTTGTTTCTAAACATAATAAAAGCGGGATGCAGGTAAATAACAAAATTAAATCCTCCTCCAAAAACTAGGAAACAGTCATGCACAGCTCTTAGCTGAGCCAGGAAGTGAATGGTGGACTCTGACCAAGGAAAAAATGGCCCATCCCAGTTCTAGGCAACCCAATCCGTTAAATGCAGTCCCTTGGGATGGTGGGATAATGAAGACTCTGCTATGAACTGTCCCAGAAAGTTGTGACGATCTGCAGTTCTTCTGAAGTCACAGAGTTTGAGACACGGTTAATAGGCAATCCACCCTTTTTGCAAACCACAGACCTTTGATGTTAATTTTCCTGCTTTTTGGCTTCCAGGTGAATAAGATGCCCCTGCGTCCCCTGGACCCTGTACGTTTGAGCACGATGAACTGTGGACCAGACTTCACGCCCTCGTTTGCCAATCTGGGCCGTCCAACCCCACCCAACCGTGGGCCGGTATGTTTTTTTTTTTTTTTTTTTTTTGAGACCTTAACCCTGGTGAGATGTTTCCTGCCCTCTTGGGTCTGCATGATGAACTCCGAATTTGTGCCATCGTGTCTGGGCCACTGATACTCTGTGATGGAACTGAGGAACTGATCTGGCAGCCCACATTGTTGTACCCAAACACGGCTGGGGTGGAAGAACAGCTTTCAACTATGGAGCCCAGACTTCTGTTTAGCATGCTTGTTTCGACAATGTTTGTAAAATCTGTCTTTCCCTCCCTCCCTCCATTTTTCTCTCTCTCTCTCTCTCTCCCTCCCTCCCTTTCTCTTTCTCTCTCTCTCTCTCCCTCCCTCCCCCTCTCCCTCCCTCCCTTTCTCCCTCTCCCTCCCTCCTTTTCTCCCTCTCTCTCCCCTTTCTCTTTCTCTCTCCCTCCCTCCCCCCTCTCCCTCCCTTCCTCTCCCTTTCTCCCTCTCTCCCCCTCCCTTTCTCTCTCTCTCCCTCCCCTCTCTCTCCCTCCTTTTCTCCCTCTTGCTCCCTTTCTCTCTCTCTCCCTCCCCCTTTCTCTCCCTCCCCCTCTCCCTCCCTCCCTCTCTCTCTCCCTTCTTTTCTCCCTCTCCCTCCCTCCCTTTCTCTCTCTTGCTCCCTCCCCTTTCTCTCCCTCCCTCCCCCTCTCTTTCTCTCCTTCTCCCTCCCTCCCTCCCCCTCTCCCTCCCTCCCTCTCTCTCCCTCCTTTTCTCCCTCTCGCTCCCTCCCTTTCTCTTTCTCCCCCTCCCCCTCCCTCTCTCTCTCTCCCTCCTTTTCTCCCTCTCGCTCCCTCCCTTTCTCTCTCTTGCTCCCTCCCCTTTCTCTCCCTCCCTCCCCCTCTCTCTCCCTCCTCTCTCTCTCCCTCCTTTTCTCCCTCTCGCTCCCGCTCTTTCTATCACTCCCTCCCTCTCTCCTTCCTTCCCACCTTCTCTCTTCCTGTCCTGCATCACAGCCGCCTGGGCCAGGACAACGGCGTTCCCAGCAAAGCCTGCGGAAGGAGCCTCGGAAAATTATTGCCACGGTCTCTTTGAATGAAGATGTTAAGTTGAACAAGGCTGAGAAGGCTTGGAAACCCAGCAGCAAGCGGGCCACTGAAGTAGAAGATCCTGAGAACATAAAAACTCAGGTAAGCATCAGTCAATCAGTCAATCAATCATAATCGAGCTGGAAGGGACCTTGGAGGTCTTCTAATCCAACCTCCTACTCAAACAGGAGACACTATACCAGTGATGGCTAAGCTTTTCCGGACCGAGGGACCAAAGCGCGTCTGCACGCGAATCCCCAAAATGCAATGCTCTTGTGGCCCCTGCACATGTGCCCTACGCATGTACACATGGCCCCCACATGCACCCCCCGTGCATGCAGTCACGGCCCACCCATGCACGGCAGACATGACCAGCTGACTGGCAGGAAGCTCACACGTGCAGCGGAGCTGAACTGGGGCGACGGCTCGCATTGCCCACAGAGAGGACGCTGCGTGCCACAGGTTCGCCATCATGGCACTATACCATTTCAGACAGGTGGTTGTCCAGTTTTTTCTTAAAAGCCTCCAGTGATGGAGCACCCACAATCTCTGGAGTCAACCCCGTTCCACGGATTAATTGTCCTCACAGTCAGGAATAATTCCAGGTTGCCTCTCTCATGGACTTTGCACCCTCTTGTTGCAGCTGAATCTGTTTTAGAGCTTTTATCTCCTTCTTGCTAGCTCCCCCCCGGAGTGGGGGCTCTTTAGACTGCCATTTTGGATCACAGAGATTTTGGTTTAGGAAAGTCAAGTCTTGGTTTACACTTGCTCTCTGAAGGTTTCTAAAGATAAGATCACAAGATGTGCAAAGATAGCCTGTTCTCTTTTGGGAGTTGGTTTCCCAAGTGGGTGGAGGAGAAAGAAGGTTTGAGATGTGCTGCCCGAGGGTGACATGAGTAAACCATGGCTGAAAATTGGAAGAAATTAGACTTAGGCAGTTGGATTGTAGCTCCCAACACGAAGATGGCAGAAAGGAGGTAGGACACACAAAGTGAACGCTCCCTGAACACAAATCCAGCATTCCGATGTAGCTGCTGGGCTGCCTTCTTGCTTACAGCCCATACAATCATATTGTTCTGCTCCAGCTATGGATCCCAAAGAACACAGCACACACAAAGTTTGTACAAAACTTAATTTACTAAAATAACTCAGTGTTTTTCAAAACAAAGGCTGTTAATAAACTTTCTTAACAGCCTACAAGAAACCAAAGATAAAGTAATCACAATCTTACTAAGGTTGGCAGAAAGCCCAGAAGCAATTTGCAGAGAATCCAGACGCGAAGTAGAGCGAACTAAAGTTGTTCCCTACAAATTGCTTCAGTCGGTGTTCTTCCTTAAATGGGCTAAGGGAGTGGCCAATTAGCCCCAAGCCTTACTCTCGAGGAGACCTCCTCCTGAGGAGCCACTCCTGCCTTTTGGCAGCTCTGCACGCCCGTGCATCGAGGAGAGGCTCCTCCTCTTCTTCCTCTTCACTTATGGGAGCTTCTGGAGGTTCTGAAGGCCCTGGCTGAATCCCTGCCTCTGGCACCACATCTTCTCCAGCCTCCTCATTGTCCGACTCGAGTGCCAGCTGCCCAGGCTGCTGGCGCAGCACCACACCAGCCTCCTCACTGTCAGAATCAGCTACAATCCGCACAGGCCGCTGACAGGCCACAACACATATTCAGGTAGTCCTCGACTTAACAACAGTCCATTTAGTCACCGTTCAAAGTTACAACAGCACTGAAAAAAGTGGCCAATGACCATTTTTCGCGCGACCGTCGCAACATCCTCATGGTCAGGTGATTTACGTTCAGAAGCTTGACAACTGGTTCATACTTATGACCTTTGCTGTGTCCCATGATCCCCTTTTGCACTTCTGACAAGCAAAGTCAACGGGGAAGCCAGGCCCACTTAACAAACCTGTTCCTAATTTTAACAACCGCAGGGATTCACTTAACAAATGTGGTAAGAAAAGTTGTAAGATGGGGCAAAACTCACTTAACAAATTTCTCACTTAGCATTTCTCACTGGGCTCAATTGTAGTCGTAAGTCGAGGATTATCTCTGCAGACAGAACTGAATTGGGACCCTGAATTTCCATTGCTATGTAAGTTGGTTTACTAAATAAGTTGCGCCTGAAATTTATGACCTTTCCTGCCATGGTCGTTAAGCAAATCACTGCAGTTCAATGAATCACACCGTTATTAAACAGATGATTTTACTGATCTGGGAAGGTTGATTACAAGACCCTGGGATGGTGCAACCATCTTAAATACATGCTGGTTGCCAAGCACCCAAATTTTGATCACATGACCATGGGGCTGCTGCAACAATTTTAAGTGTAAGGACTGGTTGGTTATAAGTCACTTTTTTTTTAGTGCCGTTGTAACTTCAAACTGTTGCAAAACAAATGGTTATAACTCGAGGACTACCTGTATGTCTCGACATTCTAGATCCGTGATGGCGAACCTATGGCACGAGTGCCACAGGTGGCATGCGGAACCATATCTGTAGGTAACACGAGCATTGCCCTAGCTCAGCTCCAGCGTGAATGTGCGCAGGAAAGCTGATTTTCAGGCCTTCTGGGTCCACCAGAAGTCGGGAAACGGGCTGTTTCCGGCCTCTGGATGGCCTCCGGGGGTGTGTGGGAAAGGCAAAAACAGCCTTCCCAGAGGGGAGCAACAGAAACAGACCATGAAGTGGGTGTGTGGGGTACTCTAACATTGCTTTGAGCTCTAAGCACATAGCGCTTATAACCAACATCCTGAATAACGGGAAGCGAGCTTCCTATGCTCTTCTCGGCTGTCCTTACCACTCTCTGTATGGACTTTCGACCTGAGGCACTGCTGCCACCTGATTCTCTTTACCCTCTGATTCAGGGAACTCTTGAGGATACAGATAAACCCTCAAATGGCCTCATGACTACTCTCAGTCCCAGATGACTGCAAAGAATATAAATCCTTCTACTCCCCACCAGTCAGTTAGAACTAAAGAAGCTTCTTGGAGGAGAAGCGAAACATTTTCAAAGGGGAAAAAAAAAACAGAAGAAGTCCAGTTGCTTTTTGGAAAAAGCACCATTGGGACAAATGAAACGACACTGTTATTGCCTCTTCCCACAGGAGCTCTTCCGACGTGTGCGCAGCATTCTCAACAAGTTGACACCGCAGATGTTCCAGCAGCTGATGAAGCAGGTCACCGAGTTGTCCATCGACACAGAAGAACGCCTCAAGGGCGTCATTGACCTCATCTTCGAGAAGGCCATCTCTGAGCCAAACTTCTCTGTTGCCTATGCCAACATGTGCCGTTGCCTTATGGGGGTAAGTGCTCCAGGGAATCGAGGACCACCAATTCTCACAGGTGTTTTTTTATTATTATTATTATTTATTTATTTTTATATGCCGCCCTTCTCCGGAGACTCAGGGCGGCTTACAATGCGTTAAGCAATAGCCTTCATACTTTTGTATATTTTATACAAAGTCAGCTTATTGCCCCCACAAACCGGGTCCTCATTTTACCCACCTTAGAAAGGATGGAAGGCTGAGTCAACCTTCAGCCTTGTGAGAATTGAACTCGCAGTAATTGCAGGCAGCTGGATGTTAAATGCTGCCTTAGTAGGAGGCATTATCCTCCTATGCTACACACCCTCCCTTTCTAGTGTGCAGTGGATTGAAGTGCCTTTCAGGATAGGGCGTAGAGATGCTGGTGGTTGTAGCCCAATTGTCACATATAGGATCTCCACTTAGATCAGGGTTTCCCAACCTTGGCCATTTTAAGATGTGTGGACTTCAACTCCCAGAATTCCCCACCCAGCCTTTGTAGACTTCACCTTCCAAAATTCCTTACCCAGCATATATAGACTTCAATTCCTAGAATTCTTCAGGTAGGACTTCAACTCCCAGAATTCCCCAGCAGCATGCAGGCTGGGGAATTCTGGGAATTGAAGTCCGTATAGCTTATAAAAATGATGAGTTCAAATGCTTAGTTCCAAATCATTGACAAACTCCAGCCTTCCCAGTGGAACCTGAGAGCTGTGCTGGTTGGGGACGATGGGAATCCTTGTACCAGATGTTATTAAGTTTCAGCTTATTAACAACTGCCCACCTATCCACCAAGAACCTCTCAGGGGCGAATCAATGAGAACAGAGAATCACATTAAAACGAAAACCCAATGGAAACTCCATTGAAAACACCAAACACCAACCCATGTGTCCCTGCCAGAACCCCCAAAACTAGTGCCCTGCCTCTGTGCCAACAGCAGTGGCTGATGGTCTTTGGATGGCCACCGGGAACATTGTCAGTAGCTCCTCTCCTGAGCCAGGAAAAGTGAGGGCCACTGGATTGTATGACCAGTCTCCCCACGTTCTATAGATCTTATCAGAATTGCAGAGTTGGAAGGGACCTTGGAGGTCTTCTAGTCCAGCCCCCTGCTACCTTCAGCCTTGTGAGAATTGAACTCGCAGTAATTGCAGGCAGCTGGATGTTAAATGCTGCCTTAGTAGGAGGCATTATCCTCCTATGCTACACACCCTCCCTTTCTAGTGTGCAGTGGATTGAAGTGCCTTTCAGGATAGGGCGTAGAGATGCTGGTGGTTGTAGCCCAATTGTCACATATAGGATCTCCACTTAGATCAGGGTTTCCCAACCTTGGCCATTTTAAGATGTGTGGACTTCAACTCCCAGAATTCCCCAGCCAGCAGCAGCTGGGTGGGGAATTCTGGGAGTTGAAGTCCACACATCTTAAAATGGCCAAGGTTGGGAAACCTGACTTAGATATTATAGGTAAATGGGGAGGTCCATTCCCAGATTTTGGAAGTCCCCAATAACCGAGTTGCTAGAAGTTATCTAGTTCAGGGGTCCCCAACCCTAAGTCCGTGGTCTACTACTGGGCAGTGGCCTGTTCAGAACTGGGATGTGAAAGGGGCAGGTTAGCGCATGTGCACACAGCTCCAATTGTGTGAGCGACAAGCACGCGTGCCCGTCACATAAATGGAGCTGAGCCTGTGGGCACCCTCTGCTTGCACGGACCCATTCCCTCTCTCCCTCTCCCACCGGTCCGCAAAGCCAGATACTTTGGAGGCCACTGGCCTACTTGGCTCTACCGCAACAGGTAAAGCTTGGCTAGCGTTAACGTATATCAGTGTATTTGGGAACCCTAAAAATGGACCCATTTAGTAAACAGGTTAATGTTCTATTTGTATAAACCGGGGTGAAATCCACCAGGTTCTGACAGGTTCTGGAGAACCGGTAGCGAAAATTTTGAGTAGTTCGGAGAACTGGCAAATACCACCTCTGAGTGGGGTGGGAATGGAGATTTTGCAATATCCTTCCTCCAGGAGTGGGGAGGGAATGGAGATTTTGCAGTACCCTTCCCCTATCACGCCCACCAAGCCACACCCACAGAACTGGTAGTAAAAAAAATGTGGATTTCACCACTGGCATAAACCATATATTGTGATAGGATTGCGACCAGATAATTAATTTCTGTTGTATATGGTACTTGGACCAATGAGTATTAGGAGTGCTTATCTGGCTGTCTTCCTATGGTGATCCTCAACTGTCTTTTCTTTAGCTAAAAGTCCCCACTACTGATAAACCTACCGTCATGGTGAACTTTCGCAAGGTACTCTTGAACCGCTGCCAGAAAGAGTTTGAGAAAGACAAGGATGATGATGAGATTTTTGAGAAGAAGCAGAAGGAGATGGATGAAGCAGCTACCGTAAGTGAGCTTGAACATAACGTATCTGGAACTCGGGTTCCAAGGCCTAAAAGATTCTGACATTTTTGGCTTCTATTTATCTTTCTTTCTTTCTTTCTTTCTTTCTTTCTTTCTTTCTTTCTTTCTTTCTTTCTTTCTTTCTTTCTTTCTTTCTTTCTTTCTTTCTCTCTCTCTCTCTCTCTCTCTCCCCTCCCTCCCTCCCTCCCTCCCTTCCCTCTCTCCCATTATCTCTGTCTATATCTATCTATCCTCCATCCATCTAGCTATCACGTATCATTCACCTGTCATCTATCAGCTAGCATCTGTCTCTCTTTCTGTCTTCATTATCTGTCACTTATCAATCATTTCTGTCATTTATTTATAGCTATCATTTCATCTATATCTTTCTTTCTCTCTCTTCTTCTTTCCTCCCTCCCTCCCTCCCATTCTCTCTCTCTCTCTCCCTCCCTCTCCCTCCCTCCCTCCCTCCCTCCCTCCCTCTCTCCCCTCCCTTCCCTCTCTCTCTCTCTCTCTCTCTCTCTCTCTCTCTCATCTAATTTGCTTAGCTCACCATCTCACCAAAAGCAACTAGGAGGCACTTAACAATCAGATAAAAACCGCAAATATAAAAACAGCAGATATAAAATCTACAAAAATCTACACTGAGGAATAAATGATATTTAAAAAAAGAAGCATGCAATCCCTAGCCGAAGAGAGGATAAAAATAGGGACCTCAACAACGGAGCCATCTAAGCATATCTCGGGGTCGCTGCAACTCCAGGCCTGATGGCATAGCCAAGTCTTTTGAGGGCCTTCTGAAAGGATTTCTATTGGGCAGAAAGGAATGATAGGAGCTTCTTTGATGGGACAGATAAGTGACTTGACTGAAAGCCTGCCAGACCTCCTATTGGGAGGAGGTAAGGGGTATGGTTACGTTGGTATTGATTGTATGTTAAGAGGTTGCTATGTGTCACTAGAGATGCTTAATGCAGAAATCCTGACTCTCGGAGCTGAAGTTCACAGGTCTCCTGTTGGAAAAAGGAGAATTGATTTGAATCTCCCCAGCCTCAAATGGACAATTTACCAGGCCACAACTCCTTCATTTTATGCACAATTTCTCTAGACGTGCACGGTTGTTAAAAATGGCTGAAATGAATCGTTTCTAAGTTAAGAATTTTAAAAAGTCATTTTATCCACAGTCAAATCATAAATCTCTCGTTTGTTCCGCAGCCTGAAGAGAAAACGCGCCTAAAAGAGGAGCTGGATGATGCGAGGGACAAAGCCCGCCGGCGGTCCCTTGGCAACATCAAGTTCATTGGGGAACTCTTCAAGCTGAAGATGCTGACGGAGGCCATCATGCACGACTGCGTGGTGAAGCTGCTGAAGAACCACGATGAGGAATCCCTGGAGTGTCTCTGTCGGTTGCTCACGACCATCGGCAAAGACCTGGACTTTGAGAAGGCCAAGGTACTTCACCCCTTTGCTGCGGAAGGGAGAAAGCAGCAGTTCTCTTATCTTTTAAGGAGCATTAGATGCCCCTTGCGTTGGTCAGACGTCTTGGGTATCTTTAGAGATCCTCAGTCATCCAGATCGTGGTTGTCCCAAAGGTGCTTTTTTTTCAAGAGGCAACTAGACTTCCTGGTTTTGGAGTTTTTGTAATTTGTGGATTAGGGGTGACACGATAGCAGTCTTCCAGTATTTGAGGGGCTGTCATAGGAAGGAGGAGGTCAACCTATCCTCCCAAGCACCTGAGGGCAGGACAAGAAGCAATGGATGGAAACTAATCAAGGAGAGAAGCAATCTAGAACTAAGCAGAAAATTTCCTGACAGTGAGGGGAAAAAAAATTAACCAGTGGAACTGCTTGTCTCTTGAATTTGTGGGTGCTGCATTGTTGGTAGTTTTCAAAAAGAATATGGAGAGCCATTTGTCTGGGATAGTTTAGGGTCTCCTACCTGAGCAGGGGGTTGGACTCGATTAGAAGACCTCCAAGGTCCCTTCCAATTGTGTTGTCCCAAAGATGCTTTTTTCAAGAGGCAACTGAACTTTCTGGTTATTTTCTTTGAAGACGTTTCACTTCTCATCCAAGGAGCTGCTTCCACTCTGACTGGATGGTGGAGAATGGAAGGATTGATACTCCTTGCAGACAGCTGGTCATTTGCATCCTTTTTAGAGAGCCGCTGAGGCCACTTGGGGGTTTGTTTATGTCCTCAGGATCACCCGAGTGGTGCAAATGGGTGTGGAGCTGTGCTTTCTGCTTAACTTAAGGCACTACACCAGGGGGGGGTTCTACTTACCTTTACTACTGGTTCGCAGCGATCATCGGTCACTTTTTTCCAGTGCCGTTGTAACTTGGAACGGCCACTAAAGCAACCGTTGTAACTCGAGAACAACCTGTCCTGTTTCTATCGTGTCGTCTCAGTTTCATTTCTTCTGTCACAACGCCGAATAAATAAAACAAACTTCATTTCTTGCTCTTCAGCCTCGAATGGATCAGTACTTCAACCAGATGGAGAAAATAATTAAGGAGAAGAAAACGTCCTCGCGGATCCGGTTCATGTTGCAGGATGTGATTGACCTCAGGCGGGTAAGGTGCAGGTAGCAGCTCAGTTTTGGTCCCTGGGCTAGATGACAATTATTATTTTTTTTAAATTAGATTTATATGCCGCCCTTCTCCGGAGACTCAGGGCGGTTTACAGTGCGTTAAGCAATAGCCTTCATACTTTTGTATATTTTATACAAAGTCAGCTTATTGCCCCCACAATCTGGGTCCTCAATTTTCCTACCTTAGAAAGGATGGAAGGCTGAGTCAACCTTGAGCCTGAGGAGGTTCGAACATACAATAATTGCAGACAGCTGAATGTTAATAACAGGCTTTTAGTCTGTTGAGCTATCCAGGCTCCTATCCCTTTCCCCTTTCCCCCAATCCCTTCCCCCCCCCTTTTTTTAATATATAAATATTTTATTTGTTTTTAAGCATAAAATACATCTTTTAAGAGCAAAGGTTTGGTCCGGTATTAGATAAGTACAATTGCCCACACTTCTTTAACCAATTTGATTCCAAATTTCATCCATTTACATCTTTAAAAAGAAAAAAAAAGACATCAAATCGCCAATATTTTATCATACAACCTTAAGATCTTATTCTAAACGCTTGGCATTCTATTGTATCACCATAATCCCTTTCCCCTTTTCTGGGACAGGCCAGCTGGGTAAATAAAGTACCAGCCTCTACCTTCCAAGGCTAGCTGTGTGGAATTGGAAGTCCTTGGTGCCCTCTGAGCTTGGTTGTTTCCTTGCAGACGCTTCATTAACCAAACTAGTAACCTCATCAGTGCTAGAGTGGAATTCTTAATGGTAGAGGTTAATACCTTCTCTCCTGCTTTCCTATTCATTTCGAGTTCAAATCACCACTATTTCTATTATTTCTATCATTATTACTGCCAAAAAAAGCCAACACAGTTCTAGACTGCATAAACAGGGATAGAATCAAGATCACGTGAAGTGTTAATACCACTTTATAATGCCTTGGTAAAGGCCACACTTGGAATGCTGCATCCAGTTTTGGTCGCCACGATGTAAAAAAGATGATGAGACTCTAGAAAGAGTGCAGAGAAGAGCAACAAAGATGATTAGGGGACTGGAGGCTAAAACATATGAAGAATGGTTGCAGGAACTCAGTATGTCTAGTTTAATGAAAAGAAGGATTAGGGGAGACTTGATAGCAGTCTCCCAATATTTCAGGGATTGCCACAAAGAAGAGGGAGTCAAACTATTCTCCAAAGCACCTGAGGGCAGGACAAGAAGCAATGGGTGGAAACTAATAAAGGAGAGAAGCAACTTAGAACTAAGGAGAAATTTCCTGACAGTTAGAACAATTCATCAGTGGAACAACTTGCTTCCAGAAGTTGTGAATGCTCCAACACTGGAAGTTTTTAAGAAGATGTTGGATAACCATTTGTCTAAAGTGGTGTAGGGTTTCCTGCCTAAGCAGGGGGTTGGACTAGAAGACCCCCAAGGTCCCTTCCAACTCTGTTATTATATTACCTATCACTGATAATCGCTGTGTCTCAACCCGACCAACTTTCTTAAAGTGGACTTCAACTCCCAGAATTCCCCCGCTAGCATACCATGGCTGGCTGAAGAATTCTGGGAGTTGAAGTGCACAAGTCTTCAAGTTACCAAGTTTGGCGACCTCTGATCTAGGCACACACATAAGAGTGTGAAGAGCAAGGGTGGTGGCAGCAGGCACCAAATTTGACCACTCTTGGGCCAAGATTAACATTCTTTGGGGCAAAGAAGTGGGCTAGAGAAGGAGACATCTAACTAGGAATGTCTGTCCTAAGCCATCTTTACCCAAACAGGCCTAGTTGGAAATTGTCCATTTATTTATTTATTTATTTATTTATTTATTCATTCATTCATTCATTCATTCATTCATTCATTCATTCATTCATTCATTTATTTATTGGTTCGATTTATATGTCGCCCTTCTCCGGAGACTCAGGGCGGCTTACAATGCGTTAAGCAATAGCCTTCATAGTTTTGTATATACCTGCTTAGTAGGGCTTTTGGCCCCCCCCAAGCGGTGTTCTTTTTTTATACAAAGTCAGCATTGCCCCAGGTCCTCATTTTACCTACCTCGGGAGGATGGAAGGCTGAGTCAACCTTGAGCCTGGTGTGATTTGAACTTGCAGTAATTGCAGGCAGCCGGCAGCTAAGTGCTACTTTAACAGCACTTTAGTCCACTGCGCCACCAAGGCTCTTCTTTCAATGCTGGCTTGGGGAATTCTGGGAATTGAAATCCACAAGTCTTAAAATTGCCAAGTTTGGATGCCCCCTGTTTTAAAGAATTGAAGCACAAGCAATACCGGAAGGGAAAACCATTTCTAGAAATATGTTCAGGAGCTGTGTTGTCCATCATTCTGATCTCTCATCGCCGGTCCACCATCGTCGTTTTCAAGCAGGCGAGCGATCTGCACGCGGTAATGCCTCTCCCTGCTTTTCCTCATGCCTTTTGCAGAACAGTTGGGTACCAAGGAGAGGAGATCAGGGTCCTAAGACCATTGACCAGATTCACAAGGAAGCCGAGATGGAGGAACACCGGGAGCACATTAAAGTGCAACAGCTGATGTCCAAGCAGGATAAGAGGAGAGGGCCTCCATCATCTGCAGGTGAGGCGGAATCAGTGGTGAAATGTAAAATTTGTTCTGTGGGTGTGGCTTGGTGGTGGTGGGGTAATGTGACTGGGTGGGCGTGGCCAACTTTTTTTTTAAAAAAAAAACTTTTAAAAGCATTTTTTCTACAACCTGACATGTTGCTCCTAATAAATAACCGGATTTCTTTTGAAACTTGGCTCGAGGCTCATGAATTAATTAGGGCATCCTTCGAAACCCTGACATCTAAGCTTTCCCCAAAGTCCAGACTTGCCCATGAGGACAGCTGGTGCTCTCAAAAGAATTTCAAAGACGAATTCTTGACTTGTCTTATCTCTGCAGGGGGACGAGGAAACTTAGTATCAGATGACGGTTGGAACACCGTTCCCATCAGCAAGGGTAACCGGCCCCTTGACCCCAGCAGGTTAACCAAGATCACTAAGGTAAGTTGGTAACAGGTTTTGGGTACTAGTAAAATATGGGGGTGGGGGGCAGGGTATCTTCTTTTTCTAGATGACGGAAAGTAAAGTCTCAAAAATCAGCCTGATGTGAGATTGCTTAGGTCACCAAAAACGTAGATTGCTTTTTGTGGCCTTTGAATAGAATAGAATTTTTTATTGGCCAAGTGTGATTGGACACACAAGGAATTAGTCTTAGGTGTATATGCTCTCAGTGCACATAAGGAGAATAAAATACATTCGTCAAGAATAAAAACATACAGCACTTAGTGATAGTCAAGGTTACTTAATAAGCTATCAAATCATACTAGGAAACAAATATAAAACAATATAAATTGAAAGATACAAGGAACATGGTTATGGTAATAAGTGGGAAGAGATAGAATACTAGTAAGGAACAGAATAATAGTAATGCAGTAATACAGTCTTAGTATATTATTTGACAGTGTTGAGGGAATTGGTTCTTAAGCAGAGTGATGGCATTTGGGAAAAAACTGTTCTTGTGTCTAGTTGTTCTGGTGTGCAGTGCTCTATAGCGTCGTTTTGAGGGTAGGAGTTGAAACAGTTTAGGTCCAGGATGTGAGGGGTCTGTAAATATTTTCACAGCCCTCTTTTTGACTTGTGCAGTATACAGGTCCTCAATTGAAGGCAGGTTGGTAGCCATTGTTTTTTCTGCAGTTCTAATTATCCTCTGAAGTCTGTGTCTGTCTTGCTGGGTTGCAGAACCAAACCAGACAGTTATAGAGGTGCAGATGACAGACTCAATAATGTGGTTGTTATTATGCTAACCAACATAATACTGAGCAACCTTGCTTTTTTCCTGGGATTTGGGAAAGGGGGGGACCCAAGTTGTCTTAAACTGACTTTGCAGCTCCTCCAGATGAATTCTGTTCATAGGTTTGTAGTATTTTTTTATATGGACGTGGAAAGTGAGATCTGACAAATATTCTAGAAACAGAAAGCAGGACTAGTCATTTGCAAGAAGATACACGCATATTTAAAGAATATATCTGCACATCCTGATTTTTGATCGTCCTTAGTTAACATGCTCTAGTTTTTATTTTTAAAGGCTCAAGGCTCAAAATTTGTTGCTCACTATGTTGTAATAATGTTTATAAACGTACCCTGCCTATCTTTCACATAAAACTGCAGAAATGTGTTAAGGAAATAAGTTAAGTGAATAAGGCCTTCATCTGAGATGTCTATGGAGATTCTCAGGCATCCAGGTCATGGTTGTCTCCAAAGGTGCTTTTTCAAGAGGCAACTGGACTTTCTGGTTTTTCTTCGAAGACATTTCACTTCTCGTCCAAGAAGCTTCTTCAGCTCTGACTGTGTTCTGCCCCAGCTACGGATCCCAAAGAACACAGCACACACAAACTCTGAACAAAACTTAGTTTACTCAAATAACACAGTTTTAGCAAATGCCGGCGGTTAATAAGCGTTCTTAACAGCCTGCCAGAATTCCACAGATAAAATAGTCAGAGTCTTACTGGAGTTGGCAGAAAGCCCAGAAGCAAGATTGCAGAGACATCCCAACACGATGATTAGTGAACTAAAGTTGTTTCCTGCAGCTTGTTACAAGCTGCTTTCTTTCTTAAATAGGCTAAGGGCGTGGCCAATTAGCCCCAAGCCTTACTCTCGAGGAGACCTCCTCCTGAGGAGCCACTCCCGCCTTTTGGCAGCTCTGCACGCCGTGCATTGAGAAGAGGCTCCTCCTCTTCATCCTCTTCACTTAAAGGAGCCTCTGGAGGTTCTGAAGGCCCTGGCTGAATCCCTGCCTCTGGCACCACATCTTCTCCAGCCTCCTCGCTGTCCGACTCAAGCACAGGCTGCTGGAGCAGCACCACACCAGCCTCCTCGTCGTCGGGATCAGCAACAATCCGTGCAGGCCGCTGGCGGGCCACAACAGACTGGATGGTGGGGAATGAAAGGATTCATATTCCTTGCAGACAGATGATCATTTACATCCTTTTAGAGAGTCGTTGAGGCCACTTGGAGGTTTATCTTCAGGGTCACCTTAGTAGTGCAAATGGATGTGGAGGCTTAATTAAATTAAGCAGAAAGCACTCATTTGCACTATTCAGGTGACCCTGAGGACACAGATAATACCTCCAAGTGACCTCAACAACTCTCTAAAAGGATGCAAATGACCAGCTGTCTGCAAGGAATATTAATCCTTCCATTCCCCATCCTCCGGTCAGAGCTGAAGAAGTTTCGTGGAAGTCTTCAAAGAAAAACAAGAAAATCTAGTTGCCTCTTTGAAAAAACAGCTTTGGGACTTCACCTGGGATGAATGAGGGCACTGAGTAGTATTTCAAATTGCCGTAAGTACAACTTCGTTGCGACATATTCGACGGATTTCGTAATGTTTTAGATGCTTATTGAAGCTGTTGCGTTTTGGCCTGTGAGATGGAGGCGGCACAATTTAAGGCAGCAGAAAAGCACACATACTAAATAGTAAGCCGTTGAACTGTGTCTTGCCTTTCTCCTTTTTACAGCCTAGTTCAATTGACACTAATAGTCAGCTCTTTGCACCTGGTGGACGACTAAGCTGGGGGAAAGGCAGCAGTGGTGGTTCGGGTGCCAAACCTGCTGAACCAGGTAAGGTGGCAACCGGTTTGGTGTTTAGGGGTGTTGCGAAATGGGTGACGCCATGGAATTCTGAACTCGTCTCACTGGCCGTTTTCCTTGCAGCGGCTGCTGACACCAACCGTCCGGCCACGAGTACTTTGAATCGTTTTTCAGCCTTACAACAGTCGGCTCCTGCAGAGAGCCAAGATGTTCGGCGTGTGGTTCAAAGGTTGGTGGCCTTCTTTACGCTCCTGTTGCAAGAATTTTCCTCTTGTGGTTGAGGCTTGCTTAGAGAAGTGCGGAAGGACCTATCCTGGGGTTCAGGCAGGGGTGGGCTTCAGATCCTTTAGCAACGGGTTCGCTGCCCCGTTGCTGGGTGGGGGTGGCCTAGTCAGCCGCCTGCCCCACGGCAGGGGGGCATGTTTTTTTTTTGCCCTCCCCAGGCTCTGAAGGCTTTTTTCAAGCTTCCGGGATGGCGGAAACTGCTTCCCGTGGGCTCCGGAAGCCCTCCGAAGGCCAGAAACAGGCCCATTTCCGGACTTCCAGAACCTCCAGTAGGCCCATTTTTTGCCCTCCCAGACCGGACCTCCAGAACCTCCGCGCGGCCCCTGCACTTACCTGGAATGATGAACAGGCTGTGTGGAGACTCCGGGAAGGGGGCAGGGGGTGTTGCCAGCCAGGGGTGTCATTTGGGGGTTCACCGAACCCCGGCGATGCTTGGCTAGAGGTTCGCCCGAACCCCCAGGAGCCCACCCTTGGGTTCAGGATTCTTGACAACATTGTGGTTGCTCTTCCGGAATATGTGAGCTGGTGGAATGAAGAGGTTTTGGCCACACTTGGGCTGTGCTCACTAAACACCCGTAACCCAATGACTGAATAGCACAGAATAGAATAGAATTCTTTATTGGCCAAGAATGATCAGACATACAAGGAATTTATCTCCGGTGCATAAGCTCACCGTGTACATATGAACAGCAAGTCATAGGTCCCTGATGGCGAACTTATGGCATGCGTGCCACAGCTGCCATGCGGAGCCATATCTGTGGGCACGCAAGCGTTGACCTAGTTCAGCTCCAGGACACATGTGCATGCCAGCCATCTGATTTTCAGGCCTTCCGGGCCAACCGGAAGTCAGTAAATGGGCCCTTTCCGGCCTCCGGAGTGATGGGGAAGGGCATTTTTGCCCTCCCCAGGCTCCAAGAAAGCCTCTGGAGCTTGGAGAGGGCAAAAAAAACGGGCCTACTGGGCCCACCGTGCCATTGCGTGCCAAAAGCAGGGGGATTGCAGGGGGGTCGTGCGCGTATGCATGGGGGGGGGGGCGGGGGTCATTGAATTATGGGTGTGGACATGCGTGCACATGAGCCCCGCTTTTGGCACGCAACGACAAAAAGGTTAGCCATCACTGTCATAGGTCATAAATCACAATTCACAATCATTAATTATAACTTACAAAAAACAATTGATAAATCATAAGAAACCAATAAGAGAAGATAGTAGGAAGGATGAGAAATGAGACAGTGCTCTGGGGATTACTGTTAAGTGTTCAGCAATGATGGCACGGGGGGGTGGGGGGGGTGGGGAATAACTTTGTTTAGTTGTTTTGGCATGCAATGCCCTATAGTGGCGTCCTGAGGGCGGAAGTTGAAATAGATTATGCCCAGGAAGTGAGGGGTCTGTAGATATTTTCTCAGCTTTCATTCTGGCTTGTGCAGTATACAGGTCTTCAGTGGAAGGCAGGCTGAGGTTGAGACTGTGCTTTCTGAATTAACTTTGGTCCAGTTAGTCACAATTTAACCTTTTTAGATCCTTGGGAAGTGATGATGTCTCTGTTCCGGATTTGAGATTGCCTTGGAGTTTTATTTAACTCTTACCCCTTCCTTTGTACCACTTCATACAACAGGGGCATTAAATGACGGGCGATCCTTCCGAGGGCAACCTTTCCCTCCGCTGGAGAGATTTCTGGGTTCTTCCACGAAGTGCTGGAAAGGGTGCCCTTGCCTAAGAGAGGGACTTTTGGGCTCTCTATTTGCAGAAGCAGCAGCAGCCGCGACCGCTCCGAAAAAGGCAGCGAGCGAAGTGAGAGGGTAGAGCGGGCGGAACGAGGCGACCGCGTGGAGCGGAGCGAGAGAGTAGAGCGGGCGGAGAGAAACCGAACCCCGGTCACCAAACGCAGCTTCAGCAAAGAAATGGACGACCGGAGCCGGGAGCGCGAACGGCAAGGAGTCCTTGAAACAGTGCGCAAAGTGGCTAGCATGACGGAAGAGCGGGACCGAAGCAGAGAACCTGGTGAGTGGGGGTGCAAACAACTGAAGCAGGGTATCTCTCTCTCCCTCCCTCTCTCCCTTCTTCTTCTTCTTGTGCCATATCCATCATCGGATGTTGGCGATCATGTTGGCAATCCTATTTTTGTCAACAGCCGTATGAAAAAGTGCTGCTGAGTTTTGTCTAAACCGGTCCCTTAGGTTTTGAAGCCATGATCTTCTTCTGCCTGGACCTCACTTGCCTTCAATCTTTCCCTGGAAGATTAAGTGAAGGATGCCATATTTTCTGGGTGTCCCATCACATGTCATTAACATGATTTTCTTGGGAAATATATAGTGTAGTAGTCCCAATATATAGTGTAGTCCTACCATCCCAATTCCAGGCCAGGAGCTCTTGACTTCTCTTTCTCTTGTCTTCCTTTTTTCCATTTCAAAATTGTATTAGTGTCAGGTTTCGATGCTATCTCAAAATAAATGGATTTCCAAACTGCCGATCTTTGAGGAAATTTTCTCTTTATTGAGCACAGCGATCTGATCCTGGCTCTTTTCGCGGTCAGTACTGACCTTTACCCCTCAATCCCTCCCTTTCCGATCCCCAATTCTCTGCTTCTCATTGGCTATCTTCCAAGCCACTTTCCTCATCTCTTCTTCGTCAGATCACAGGAATGTCTCCCCCCCTTCTCCCATCTCCGAGGAGACAGAATCTTCAAAGGGATTTAGTAGGCAAAAGTTCAAGCTTCTCCTCTCTTTATATATGTCAGTGCTGGGACGCTGACAGTTAGTTTATCAAAATATATAAGATACAGAAATATAAAAGAAAATAATAGGAAAACAACGGAGGGAAATGGGAAGAGGAAGAAAAAAAGTGTAGATGGGGAGGGAGGGGAAACGAAGGCCTTAGCTTCCGACTCCTTTTGGTGCGGTAGAATAAAGTAATAGCACCTCAAATTTTCTCACACGCTCACTCTCCCTGCAGCAAAGCGTGAGCCGGTGGCTCCCGAACCGCCCGCCAAACCTGCCTTATCCGAGGAAGAGCTGGAGAAGAAAGCCAAGGCCATCACTGAGGAATACCTACACATCAATGATATGAAGGTTTGTTCTGGCCTGTGATAGGAGGAAAGCTTGGATGGGATCATGGTTGCATTTGCCTCGCCCGAAGGAGACTTTGGTAGTGGGAGGGGCCATTCAGAAGCTCTGATATTTTGGGGCATTAGGGGGGGGGGCACAGGATCTTGGATGAATGATGAGCCAGCACCAGGCTAGGACGTACATTTCCTGCTAGGTCTGGCAGAGGAAATTCAGAGTCTGAATGTGGTTCTTTATTATTATTATTATTTTACTCTGCCTTCAGAAGGATTAGAATTTCTGGTTTTCCCATCAGTGTAAAACCACAATCTCAACCTTAATCTTTATTTATTGATTAGCCCTTGGGCCCTATCAAAGTGCAGAGTTCCAGAAACAAATTATTACTAAAATTGGATAAAATACAATTTAAAATGGAATTGGGATAAAATACAATGTCAAATGAAATTGGAATAAACAATTTCAAATGAAATTGGAATAAAATACAATAATTTAAGATATAGATAAAATACAATAAAATTATATTTTGGTGTCACCCCTGCAATCTACCCCAAACGTGCCGATCTCAACTGAATCATTGCTCAAGTACTGTGCTGTGTTAAATGTTACTTTCAGATTCTGGCCGCACATAAGGTAAGTTGTAAGTTCAGTGCAAACCACAAGCTAAACCATCTCAGGATTTGCCTCTTTGCTTCTGACTCAGGAACAAGGAGCGAATGAAAGCAAGCAAATGAAAACCTCTACCTGTTTGAAAATATTGTATTTTGTCCCCCCAGAGGTGGCAAGGGCAGGATTATTAATTCAAAATTTTCCCTGTGGATTTAACAGAAAAATAATGCCATTTGATTTAAGCAATGCATTCATTGACTGATGGCCCTACGCTGTAAGTGGATAGCATCAGTGAACTAAGGAGATTTGGCTCCTAGGTCAAATCCTAGGAGCAACACACAAACGACATGTGTCGTTGTCTGCATATCACCACAATCGCAAAGAACAGAAGCAACCAGATAATTTAAATTAAATTAAATAAATTAAATTAAATTAAATTAAATTAAATTAAATTAAATTAAATTAAATTAAATTAAATTGCCCCATTTGTTTAGAGTGTCTCTGGATCTTGTTGTACCCATGTACAATCTATGTTCAATGATTTCCATACTTCCCAGCTTTTACCAAACCCAGGTGCCGGTCCCTCCGGTGGTTCCATCCAGTGTTGGTTCATTATAGCTTTCCATAGGTCCTCCCTGCTTTCAAATTCTTCAAAGGCTTCTGTCGACCTAAAGAAGCTTTTCCTGGATTTTAGTCTCTGCTGAGCTGGGTGTAGAGTTATAAACGGGGTGGATGTTGGGTGGTGAATGGTGGCCTTTGATCAGGTTCCGCTGACCTAATCAAGGAGAGAAGCAACCTAGAACAAACGAGAAATTTCCTATCATGGGGACAGTCAAATCAGTGGAAACCTGTTCTGACCTAGGCTCCCTTAAAAAGCAGGAAGCAGGAACAAAACCTCTTTTGTTTACACGACTGTGAATTCCTTTCATTCACAGTCATCAAGGCCTGCCCAAACAGTTTTTCAAAGGAATGTTTATCAACACAGACCTTATCTCGCTTGGCAAGCTGCCAAGTAACTAGTTTCCAAATGCAGTACAAGGCAAAACTTGACGCAGAGTCACGGAACGAATGAATTGTTTCCTGCAAAAGCCCCCTCCCCGTTCGCTCCTCTTTTGTTTCCTATGGGAGGGGCCAATCACCTCCAAGGTGTGGCTTTACTCCCAAGTCGAGTTGTTCTTGTCTTCTGGCAGCTCTGCACATGCACACACTGGGAACAGGCTCCAGCTATTCCTCTGTCTCGCTGCTGTCTATCTCCCTCTCTGCCTCTGATGCAGAGCCCTCGTCCGAGGACTGGCCCATGTTCCTCCCCAACCTCCTCACTGTCCGACTCTGCTGCCAGCTCCACTGGCCGCCGGCAGGCCACAACAAAACCGCTTGTTTAGTTTAGTTTAGTTTAGTTTAGTTTAGTTTAGTTTAATGTGATTTATATGCCTTCCGCCGTGCCCTTAAAACTTTCTTTTTTCAGCAAGCCGGGCTGGCCTAACACTTTTTAAAAATGTTTTTAATTGTTTTGTCATTGCTTTTAATTATGGGGCCAAATATGTATATACCTTTTTAATTGTATTTTAATGTTTGTAGTTTATGTTTTTACTTTGGCTGTACACCGCCCTGAGTCCTCAGGGAGAAGGGCGGTATATAAATTTGATATAAATAAATAAAATAAATAAAATAAAATATGCCGCCCTATCTCCAATGGACTCAGGGCGGCTCACAACAATAAAATGCACAATTGCACATTAAAACAATATAAAATTAAAAATCCAATTTAAAATCAATTAAGAAACCACCACCCACCCACCCCCATCAGTCCAGGCTGCAAAACAGCCAGGTCTTCAAATCACGGCGGGACGAGCGGAGCTCCAAAGGAAGTTGGTTCCAAAGGGTGGGTGCGCCCACAGAGAAAGCTCTCCCCCTGGGGGTCATCAGCCGACATTGTCTGGCCGATGGCACCCTGAGGAGGCCCTGTCTCTGGGAACGCACCGGGCGATAGGAGATTGTTACTGGCTGCAGGGGGTCCGACAGATATCCCGGACCTAAGCCATGAAGGGCTTTGTAGGTGATAACCAGCACCTTGAACCTCACCCGAAGGGCAACCGGTAACCAATGCAGATGGGTGCTCCAACACTGGAGTTTTTCAAGAACAGATGGGACAGCCTCTTGTCTGGAAATGTTACAAGGGTCTCCTGCTAGATCAGGAAGCCGGACTAGAAGATGTCTTCCACCTCTGTTATTTTGGCCTGACCTTGGTCTGTTGGTGTGATCTTTAGCAGGGTCTGAAGTCCCCCCCCCTCCCCTCCTTCCTTTCCTCTTTCCAGGAAGCTCTGCAGTGTGTACAGGAACTGGGCTGCCCCACTCAGCTCTACATCTTTGTCCGGAATGGCATCGAGTCCACGTTAGAGCGAAGCACCATCGCTCGCGAGCACATGGGCCTGCTGCTCTACCACTTGGTCAAGGCAAGCCACCTCTCCAAGGAGCAGTACTACAAAGGGTAAGGTGGGAGGGGCTGCCTCTCGCCAGGAAGCGCTGTGGGGAAGGGTTGGGAAGGAGGAGGAGGACGACACGCCCCCAGGAATCCTCGACCATAGAGCCCGCACGATCTTCACGCCTGGCTTTTGACTTCCAGACTGCAAGAGATCCTGGAGATCGGGGAAGACATGGAGATTGATATACCCCATATATGGCTGTACTTGGCAGAGATTATCACCCCCATTTTGAGAGAAGGCGGAATTCCCATGGAGGAGCTCTTCAGGTAAGCTGAGCGGCAGCCCTGCATTTTGCCCCAAAGGCGTTTGTTTTTTTTCCAAAAGGCAACTGGACTTCTTTGGTGGTGGTGGTTGTTTTAAAAAAGGTTTCGCTTCTCATCCGAGAAGCTTCTTCAGTTCTAAGGGAATGGTGGGGAATCCTTAAGTTAGAACTGAAGACGCTTCTTCGATAAGAAGCGAAAACCTTTTTTTAAAAAAAAAACAAGCAAGGAAGTCCCCAATTGCCTTTTGGAAAAGCACCTTTGGGACAATTTTTTTTACTACTGGTTCTGTGGGCGTGGTTGGTGGGTGTGGCTTGGTGGGCGTGGCAGGGGAAGGATACTGCAAAATCCCTATTCCCTCCCCACTCCAGGGGAAGGATACTGCAAAATCCCCATTTCCTCCCCACTCCAGGTGTAGGATACTGTAAAATCCCCATTCCCTCCCCACTCCAGGGGAAGGATACTGCAAAATCCCCATTTCCTCCCCACTCCTGGGAGAAGGATACTGCAAAAATCCCCATTCCCTCCTCACTCCTGGGAGAAGGATATTGCAAAATCTCCATTCCCACCCCACTCTGGGGCCAGCCAGAGGTGGTATTTGCCGGTTCTCTGAACTGCTCAAAATTTCCGCTACCGGTTCTCCAGAACCTGTCAGAACCTGCTGGATTTCACCCCTGCTTTGGGACAATTGTGACCTGGATCATTGAGAATCCCCATAAATACTCCTGTATTTTCTGCTCCTACTTTCTGTTCTGTTGTATGACCTTTCCCACTTCTGTTTTGTTTTTTTTTCCAGGGAGATCGCCAAGCCCCTAGTCCCTATTGGCAAGGCCACAACTCTATTAGTGGAAATCCTGGGCCTACTTTGCAAAGGAATGGTATGTTCTCCTCCAAGCAACCATCTGCTTTAATGGCCTCTGTGAAGGAGTGAGAAGACTGACTGTTGTGGGTCACATGTTCGCTTAGCACCGTCATGTGACCCTGTCATTGAGGGACCTAGGAGAAGCCCATTCAGATAAATCAGCCTCTAGGATGCTCTGTATTTTGCAGCTTTTGGTTCACTTGATCCAAAATGACATCTAACACAATCTTTCACTCTCCTTCCCACATCTACAGTAGTGGCCAAAATTGTGGAAACCTTTTGGGAAAAGTGTATTTTTGAGGTTTGATGGCTAATAACACCACTTTTTTTGGGAGTTTCAAGATAATCCTATTCCACTGCTGGAATGGCCTGGGAATAGCCCAAACCTTAGCCCAATTGAAAATCTGTGGAGCCAACTAAAGAAACTGGTTAGTCAGAAGCAACCCAGCAATAAAACCCAGTTAATCGAAGCAATCCTTCAATCTTGGTTTCACATTATAACCGCTGCAGAACTCAAAGACTTGGTTCACTCCATGGGAAGGCGTTGTAAGGCCATAATTCATGCTAAAGGTTACCCAACTAAGTATTAACGGACATGGTGATAATTTTTGTAGATCTCATTTTTTTCTACGTGTTTCACTTTTCTTCTTTATACTGTAACTGCTATTCTAATTGCAAATCCTTCATAAAAGTTATTGCATTACGTTCTTAATTAAATTATCTTTCCATTGATTATATATATATATAATTTTATGGTACTACTCCCCCAAAAAAGTGGTGTTATTACCTAGTTTTAGAAAATACACTTTTCCCAAAAGATTTCCACAATTTTGGCCACTACTGTAGAGAAGAGCTGTGAGCTCAGAGCAGGTGGTTTGGTGGGAGTTGATAGCAGGGCCTTCTTGATGGATGATGGACAGGTAGCTCTTGACTTTAGGACCACTATTGGGGTTAGAGCTTTTGTAGACCACCAAGGTGGTGGTTAAATGAATCACAAAGCTGTTAAGCAATTTCAGCTTCCCCCGTTTTGCTTGTTGAAAGCCAGGTGGGAAGGTCACAAATGGTGATCACAGAACCCTGGGATGCTGCAACCATCTTAAATACATGCCGGTTGCCAAGCACCTGAATTTTGATCACATGACTAAAGGATGCTGCAGTGTCATAAGTGGGAGGATTGCTTGCAAGTCGTTTTTTGTGGCACCATTACAGTGTTAAAGATTCACTAAACAAATGATTGTAAGTGAAGAGAAGGACCTGTATTCTACCTGTCCTTCTAGAATTAAGAGAAGAAATCCACTTATGATTGTTTAGACTTTAGCTATACCGTATTTATTTATTCCCCCCCGAAAATAGTGTGAAAATTTGGGTGCGTCTTATACACCAAATGTAGACCCACCCACGAGGCCAAAAATGCGAGGCACGGAGGTGGCGATGGTCTGTGGCAATCCCTGCAGCCTGGAACAGCTGATTGGGGTATTCCGGAAGGCCGATCCACCCGCCAGTCAGCTGCTCGTGCTGAATCAGGCTACAATAATGTGCTGAAGCTGACCTGGCTGTTTGCTATTTGCTGCAAGGATGTGTCAGAGTTTGCAGCAACAGTCACATCCAGAAAGCACAGACAAGTAACTGATTCAGCAGGATTCAATAATTTCTCTTTATATATAATATAACGCATGAAGTAAATATGCAATACCAAAAGCAGGTTTTCCAACGTGGTAGTAAATAAAAAGCAAAACACAAGCAGAGGAGAGGAGTTTCAATTTTAGTTTCAGAGCAGCATGCAGCTTACATACAGAACAATTGAGCTAAACCACACCCAGGCTCCTTGCTGTCTCCTTGTTGCTCACACAGCAAATACTGTTTCAGTTTCCAAACAGCCCTCCACTCTCTCACACACTGACAGGACGCTAGCCAGATGAATACCGATGGATGCTGGTAGGCAGAGGCAGAATTTTTTTTTCTTATTTTCCTCCCCAAAAACTAAGGTGCGTCTTATTCTCGAAAAAATACAGATAGATGCTGTTTTGTGTCTGTGCCCCAAACACCTGACACAAATTCACAGCATCCGAGGGTCATGAATATTGGGTGTAAAGCGATGGTGTCTCTTTCAGTGTGGGCTTCGTGACAAAGCAGGGGGGGACGGCTGTCCTTTCGGTGAGGCTGTATGCAAAATGGTGCGAAGATTGTCTCTCTTCCTCTGTAGAGCCACAAGAAGGCAGGAACATTATGGAGAGAAGGTGGACTGAGTTGGAAAGAGTTTCTGCCGGAGAACCAGGATATCAATAAGTTCATCACAGAGCAGGTAAGGAGAAAGGGCTGGGTAGTAAGATTGGTGATAGTATCCAAATGGAAGAAAATTAAGATTAAAACTCTGCCTTCTGCTTCCTCATTCCTCACCTGAAATAGGATAAAATTCAGCAGTATTATTCCCATAGGATGCTTATGGGTCTCTGACAAGGGAGAGATAAACACTTTCCAACATTTGTGAAAACGAGCATTATTATTATTTTGTTGTTGTTAGTTGCGAAGTCGTGTCCGACCCATCGTGACCCCATGGACAACGTTCCTCCAGGCCTTCCTGTCCTCTACCATCCTCTGGAGTCCCTTTAAGCTCACCCCGACTGCTTCAGTGACTCCATCCAGCCATCTCCTTCTCTGCCGTCCCCTTCTTCTTTTGCCCTCCATCGTTCCCAGCATTAGGCTCTTCTCCAGGGAGTCGTTCCTTAGGTGGCCAAAGTATTTGAGTTTCCTCTTCAGGATCTGGCCTTCTAAAGAGCAGTCAGGGTTGATCTCCTCTAGGACTGACCGGTTGGATCGCCTTGCGATCTTTGGCGTTCAGCCTTCCTTATGGGTTTTTTTTTTTTTGGTGTGGTAGTAGCAATAACAATAACATTTATATATACTGCTCCATAATGCCTTACAGCATCTCTGAGCAAAGTCAGCTCATTGCCCTCAACAGTCTGGGGTCCTCATTTTACCAACTTCGGAAGGATGGAAGGCTGAGTCAACCTTGAGCCCAACAGGATCGGACTCTACGCTGTGGGCAGAGTTTGCCTGGAATTTGCCCCTTCAACCACTCTGCCACCAGGAGTCCTAGCATTAGCTAAAGTGTTGGATCAGAGGAGAGAGAGGGAGAGGAGTGCATTATGGTTTAGAGCAGGGATCTCCAACCTTGGCAACTTTAAGCCTGGAGGACTTCAACTCCCAGCAAAGCTGGCTGCGGAATTCTAGGAGTTGAAGTCCTCCAGGCTTAAAGTTGCCAAGGTTGGAGACCCCTGGTTTGAGCAGTGTTTCTAAAAACTTTGCTGGCTAGGGAATTCTGGGAGTTATTTTTTTTTTAAAAAAATTATTTTTAAATTTATATACCACCCTTCTCCCTGAGGACTCAGGGCGGTGTACAGCCAGAATTAAAAAACATGAAATACAAATATTAAAAACAATTAAAATATATATAAATTTGGCCCAAAATTAAAAATACAAACCAATTAAAACATTTAAAATTTCTTCCTAAGCCAGCCCGGCTTGCTGGAAAAAGTGGGTTTTAAGGGCACGGCGGAAGGCACTGAGGTCATGGATTCTCCTTATCTCTGGGGGCAGCTGATTCCAGAGGGTAGGTGCCCCCACAGAGAAGGCTCTCCCCCTGGGGGTCACCAGCCTACATTGTTTGGCTGATGGCACCCCGAGGAGGCCCTCTCTGTGGGAGCGCACGGGACGATGGGAGGTCGTCGGTAGCAGCAGGCGGTCTCGAAGATAGCTAGGCCTTATGCCATGGAGCGCTTTAAAGATGATAACCAACACCTTGAAGCGCACCCGGAAGACCACTGGGAGCCAGTGCAGCTCGCGCAGGAGCGGTGTTACATGGGAGCGCCAGGCTGCTCCCGTCACTACCCGCGCTGCTGCATTCTGGACCAGTTGGAGCCTCCGGGTGCTCCTCAAGGGGAGCCCCATGTAGAGAGCGTTGCAGTAGTCAAGGCGAGAGGTGACGAGGGCGTGAGTGACTGTGCACAGGGAATCCCGATCAAGAAAGGGCCGCAACTGGCGGATCAGGCGAACCTGACAAAAAGTCCCCCTGGCAACAGCTGTCAGATGTTCCTCCAAGGACAGCTGCATATCCAGGAGGACTCCCAGATTGCGAGCCCTTTCTGTGGGGGCCAAAGACTCGCCCCCAATAGTCAGTGATGGAGTCAACTGACTATATCGGGATGCCGGGAGCCACAGCCACTCAGTCTTGGAAGGGTTGAGCTTGAGCCTGTTCCTCCCCATCCAGTTGAAGTCCACACATCTTCAGGTGGCCAAGGTTGAGAAACCCTGGTTTAAAGGGCTTTAATTTCAGCCTCATTCATATTTCAGGCTATGCCCAGAAAGATTTTTATTCTTTAGAATCTTTCCCACTCTTTTGAACTCTTCCTTGGCGATCTATGACATTCTGGGCTAAGAATGCTTCACTCGTTGCCAGATCAACGCCATCTTCTCACCTGTATGAAACACCGTGTATTTGCTCTCAACTTTTCCTCCCCACCCACCCTCTTTTTAAAAAAATAAAATAAATAAAATTGCAAGCTGGTGTGGCTTTGCACCATTTGTTCTCTCTCTCAGCCCAGTCTGCATCCTAGGATGATTTATCATATGAGAAAACAGGAAGAGGGCACATCATGTACGGCATATTTTATTATATTTATTATCGAACAAGAGGCGGGGTATAAATCTCAGCCTAATGCAGCAATTGTGAGGTTCTGGGCACATTTTTTTTTTCACTTGCCGCGTGCAACAGCTCCTCTCTGCAAGCTAACCTGGCTTCTGGGTGCGATTCAGGGTGGTGGCTGCCCTTTTAGAAATCCCTGCACGGCATTGAGCCAGGGCTGGTTGCAGGACTGCCTATCTGCAATTGTTTCTACCAGCTCGGGCAGAGTCCACACGCTTGGGGCACCGTCGATTAAGCAGTGTCACCTGGCAGGTCCCAGGAGAGATGCCGCCTCTGCTGTCGCGCATTCCCTCTGGAAAAAAGCCTTCCCTTTGCTCTGTTCGCTTTCTAGAAGGCTTGAAGAACTCAATTCTCTCAGTCCGTGATGGTGAAACTATGGCACGTGTGGCCGAAGTGGCACACGGAGCCATGTCACCTGGCATGCCCAGTGTCGCCCCATTCCTCTTCCGGGTTTCTGGCGCAGATGCACACGCGATGATCAGCCGTCCTTTGTGCGTGAGGCAGTGCCGGAAACCGGAAGAGCTACTCTTGTGAGCCGGGAATGGGCTTCCTCGAACTTTGGAATTGGGAGTGTCCAGAAAGGAGGAGGACCAATGGGAAGTGTCCCTTCTGCAGCGTCATCGGTCTCCGGGCAGTCTCCCTTGACTTCACCCACTGGAGGAGAGAGTTCTGTACAGAGAAGAAGCCCAAGTTTATTATTCAGGCCAAGATCCCCGCTTTCCCACTTCTCTCTCTCTCTCTCTCTCCCTCCCTCTCTTTCTGTCTCCTCTATTTCTCTCTCTCTCTCTCTCTCTCTCTCTCTCTCTCTCTCTCTCTCCTCTCCTCTCTCTTCTCTGTCCCTGTTCTTTCTCTCTCTCTCTCTCTTCTTGTCTCTTCTCCCACTCCCTCGTTTTCTCTCTTCCTCCCCCTCTCTCCCCCCCCTCCTCTCTTTCTGTCCCCCCTGTTCTCTCTCTCTCTCTCTCTCTCTCTTCTCTGTCTGTCTCTCTCTCTCTCTCTCTCTCTCTCCTTCTCTCTCCTCTCTCCTCCCTCTCCTCTGTCTCTCTCGCTCCCCTCCTCCCTCCAGACAGTCTCCCCTCCTTCCAGTGAAGTCCCAAAGGTGAACTCTCTGCCCGGAGACCGATGACGCTCAAGCAGGAAGAATTCTCATTGGTGCTGCCCCTCATTCTGGCCCCTCCCATCTCAAAAGTCTGAGATAAACACTTCCTCCTCCCAATGCAGAACTGCGCATTCCTCCTCTGGGGCTGGAGGCATTTGGCGGGACACCCATGCACGTGAGCACGTGTGCCGTGAGAATGCAGGCTGCCAGCTGATCAGCGCGTGCCATGCGCTGGAAACCGGAAGTACCTTATTCAGTGCACACATGGCCCCTGGGCAACTTCTCTTTCTGGTCGCGGCACTGATGAGCGCGCCCACGCATGTGAAGTGCTCCCTTTTCAGCACTTAGTGCTGCGTGCGCGTGTTTGCCTCACAAAACAAACCCAAGAAGGGGGCTCCCCCTCAACAGACCCCTAATGCCTATGAAAAGTGCCTTTTCAAGAGGCAACTGGACTTCCTGGTTTTTCTTTGAAGACGTTTCACTTCTCATCCAAAAGCTTCTTCAAGCTCTGACTGGATGAGAAGCGAAACGTCTTCAAAGAAAAACCAGGAAGTCCAGTTGCCTCTTGGAAAAAAAAAGCACCTTTGGGACAACTGTGACCTGGATGACTGAGAAGCTCCCTAGACATCCAGTGATGCCCGTCCCCTGTTATCCTAACCAGATCTGCTCTCCTTTTCTTTCTGTTTCCAGAAAGTCGAATACCCATGGGCGATAGTTCGGATGCTCCTAGTCGGAAGGAGCTCACCTCTGAAGAACTCTGCAGACAGCTAGATAAGCTATTAAAAGAAAATGCCAATAACCAAAGAATATATGATTGGATTGAGGTGAGGAATCCTTTGAAAGGCTGCGGCAGCAGCTTTTAGTAGGCTTTATTGCTATTATCCGTTTCATGTTTCCTATTTCCTTCTCCTATTAGTATCTTATGATTTGTCACTTGTTTGCATCTTACGATTAATGACTGTAACCATGATTGTGATCTATGACTCATCACTCGTTTGTGTGTACATTGAGAGCTTATGCACCGGAGACAATCCACACTTAGCCAATAAAGAATTCTATTTTTCCATGGGGGGAGGCAGAGTGGGAAGGATGGGCAGAATCAGCTACAGGTAGTCCCTGACTTACAACCATTTGGGTACTGACCATTCAAAGTTACGACGTCATTGAAAAGGGTGACTTTTTCACACTTATGACCGTTGCAGCCTCCCCCTGGTAGTCACGTGATCAAAATTCAGGCGACTGGTTCATATTTATGACCATTGTGGGGGTCATATGATCACTGTTTGTAATTGTTCTGACCTAGGCTTCACAAAAGCACGAAGCAGACTCCTTCTCCGGACAAAACCCCTTTTTATTAAGCTAATGTGAATTCTTCTCATTCACATCCAGCAAAGTCCCGGCAAACAGTCTTTCCAGGGTGAATTTACAACCACAGACTTTATCAACCTTGGAGAACTGCTGGGCCAATATCTTCCAAACGCAATGCTGTACAAGAAAAGACTTGGCAAGGAGTCTCTTGAGAGTCAGGAACAGATCTTCACACACTAATGAAATGAACTAATTGTCTCCTGCAAATTCCCTTCCGCTTTCGCTCCTCTTTATTCCCTATGGGAGGGGCCATTCACCGTCCACCTGCGGCTTTACTCCTGAGTCGGCCCTTGTTCCTTAACTGTTCCCTTCTGGCAGCTCGGCGCATACGCACATCGGGAACAGGCTCCAGCTGTTCTTCAACCCTACTTATCTCCGACTCCGAAGGAAGCTGATAACTGTCAGATGGCCCTGGCCCCTTCTCTGCCTTTGGTGCAGAGCCCTCATCAGAGCCTTCCCCAGACTCCAGGACCGGCCCATGTTCCTCCCCAATCTCCTCACTGCCCGAGTCTGCCGCCAGCTTCACTGGTGGGTCACAACAGTAAATCTTCCCATCTAGCTTCCAATAAGCTTAAGTCAATTGGGGAAAGCCAGATTCACATAACGACTTACATAGTTCATTTAACAACCGCAGTGATTCTCTTTAACAACAGCGGCAAAAAAAGAGCGTAAAATGGGGCAAAACCCACTGGACAACTCTCTTAAATGGCAACCAAAATTTTTGGCCTCCATTGTGGCCGTAAGTCGAGGACTCCCTGTAATCTCTTTCTGCTCTGCCTGGAAATTTAAATTAACCAGAATGTAGGAAAGAGACGGATCTTTCCTGTAGAAGGGACTAACTTAAGTGAGTGGTTCACAGTTCCTCGAGGCAATATTGTTTTCGCCCCGATGTAGGTGTTGGCCACTGCGGTAGCTGGTTAACGTTGACTTTTGCCAGAAGGGGTGAGAGTCCCTGGGCAGTTGATGACAATTTTTGAGAAATTGCCCTTCAATAGTGGTGGGATGCTGCTGGTTTAACATCATTGAGCGTCTGCTTTGTGTGTGCATGTAAAGCGGTTGCGCGCAGCGCTGAAAATGGAGCGTTTAGAAGCTTAGCTGCTTACCTTCCAAGTCAGCAACATAGAACAGCGATTGGGGGGGGGGAAATCAGCTGTGCTGCGCGATTGAGATGAGCTACAAAGCAGGAAATAAAGGACAGGATAGAGCTGGGGCAGGTGGGCGGGGCCAACTGATCATCGGAGCTACCGTTTCGCCCAAACCGGCTGAATACCGCCTCTGGGAAGGAGTGGTTTCCCATGAATCAGCCCTGCGGGGTGCAGTGTTAGCCTAGTTCAAAAAAACCAGCAGCCTCTGAGCATAGGATGGAAGCGGTTGAACAGACAATCAATGTATTGTATTCTTAGGCCACTTTATCTCACTGTATTGTATTCCTAGATCAGCGTATCTCAATCTTGGCAACCTTTAAGACATGTGGACTTCAACTCCCAGAATTCTATGCTAGGCTGTCTGGGGAATTCTGGGAACTGAAGTCCACACTTCTTAAAAGTGGCCAAGGTTGAGAAACACTGCCTTAGGCACTTCTGCCATTTTGCTGAGAGAGACCACGGCAGTCTTCCTTGTTCCTTCCTTCCGTTTAAGAACTGACTCGGCTGTAACACGACACTTTGCAGGTAGTCCTCAACGTATGACTATAACTAAGCCTACCATTTCTGTCGCTAAGTGAAACATTTGTTAAGCGAGTTTTGCCCCATTTTACACCCTTTCTTGCCACCGTTGTTAAGTGAATCACTGCAGTTGTTAGATTAGTAACCCAGTTGTTAATTGAATCTGATTTCCTCTGCTTGTCAGAAGATTGCAAAACGGGATGACATAACCCCGGGACACTGCAACCGTCATAAATACGAGTCGGTTCGGTTGCCGAGCATCTGAATTTTGATCGTGTCTCCATGGGGATGCTGGCATGGTCATAACTGAAAAAAAGTCACTTTTTTCAGTGCCGTTTTAACTTTCGAACGATCCCTAAATGAACTGTTGTAAATTGAGGACTATACCTGTATTTTCTGACCACTAATTTTGAGTGTGTTTTTTTCCTCTCCTGCCAGGTAAACCTGAGTGAACAGCAGGTCTCCTCCATTATGTTTATCAGGGCCCTGATGATGTCAGTGTGCCATTCCGCCGTAGTCTGTAAGCCTTTACTGTTATCAAAGGGCAGGTGGGGTGGATTGGGGGGCTTTGGAGGAGGCACATATTTTGGGGATCCCATGCAGCAAAATTGGTTAAAGTTGCTCTCAGCTGAGAAGAGCAGTCCCCTATCAGTCCCTCAGGAGCATTTCCTAGTTGTCTGGACCCCCTCAGTATGGGTTGGGCTCAGGGTGAAATGCTACCGGTCCCAGCCGGTTCGCCCGAATCGTTAGTAAAAAAAAAAAATACATAAAAAAAAGATTCTAACAATCAGCTGTGACACACGATCGTCGGAATCTTTTTTTTTTTTACTTTTTTAAAGCATTTTTTACTACCTATTCTCCCAAACCGATAATAAAAAAAATGCTTTTAAAAAGTTAAAAAGAAAAAAAAGAAAAGAAAAAAAAAGGTTCCACAGCTTGGGCACAGCTGATTGTCACAGCTGATCGTCGGACCTTTTTTTTTAGTTAAATGCCTTAAAAAAGTAAAAAAAAAAAAATTGGCCATGCCCACCCAGTCACCCCCCCCCACCCCACCCCCCCAAGCCACACCCCCCAAAGCCAAATTTTTGAATTGGTACATGTTGGTGTTGGCTACAGAGTGGCACAGCGGTGGGTTGCTAGGACCCTTAAGGTGGCAGGCCAGAGACCTGGAAGGCAAACTTGGAGACTGCAGAATTCCAGTCTTCATCATTGGCCTGTTCAGCTGGCTGGAACCAGAGCTGTATATCTCCGCCTTAAGGAGAGATGTCTATGGAAATTCTCAATCATCCAGGTGATGGTTTTCCCCAAAGATGCTTTTTCAAAAGACAACTGGACTTTTTTTTTATTTTTTTTCTTTGAAAACGTTTCTCGTTCAAGAGGAATGTTGAGGAATGAGACCCCCTGACCCTCCCAGGATCCTGTTAGAAGCCGAGGGAGGGCCATGGGGGGAAGAGGGTTGTGAATGTTGCTAGCGTCATCCTTGGGGCTAGGCGGAAAACTGTCCGTTGTCCATTTGTTCAGCTGACCTCTCCTTTTCTTCTCTGCTACAGTCGAGAATGAATCCTTACCGGATGGACAATCTTGTGATTAAGAGCCGAGGCAAGCTGCTGCAGAAATACTTGAGCGATGAAGATAAGGAGCTCCAGGCCCTTTATGCTTTACAAGCCCTAGTGGTGAAGCTGGACCAGCCAGCAAGTAAGTCTCCTCTCCGTTCCACAAAATGACCCCAACAGGGAGGGAGGGAGAGGGGAAGGACATGAAGTCAGTGGCATGAATTCCGCCTCCAGAAATGTAGAAACCGAGTAGAACTCACCCTGAATAGCAAACCATGTGACTCTGCTACCATGTTTCCCCGAAAATAAGACTGGGTCTTATATTAATTTTTGCTCCAAAAGACACAGTAGGGTTTATTTTCCAGTTAGGGCTTATTTTCGGGGAAATACGGTACTAAATGTGTTTGTCTGGCTGACAATCTTAACTGGGGCTTATTTTTGGGGTAGGGCTTATATTACAAGCATCCTGAAAAAAATCATACTAGGGCTTATTTTCCAGTCAACTCTTATTTTCAGAGAAAGCTGTACTCACTCGGCATGCTTGTTTCTGTCTTGTGAGAATTGGACTTTGAATCGTAAATGTCAGGTGTTTATGGAGATTCACAATCATCCAGGTCATGGTTGTCCCAAAGGTGCTTTTCCCAAAAAGGCAACTGGACTTTCTTGGCATTTCTTTTTTCTTTGAAAATATTTAGCTTCTCATCCAAGAAGCTTCTTCAGTTCTGAACTGAAGAAGTTTTTGGATGAGAAGCTAAACCCGTGATGGCGAACCTATGGCACACGGAGCCATATCTGTGGGCACTCAAGCGTTGCCCTAGCTCAGCTCCACTGCACCTCCAGCCACCTGATTTTTGGGCCTTCCGGGCCCACCGATGTCGGGAAACGGGCCATTTCTGGCCTCCGGGGGGAGGGGGGAGGCTGTTTTCGCCCTCCCCAGACTCCAAGAAGGCCCCTGGAGCCTGGGGAGAGCGAAAAACAGGCCCTCCCCAAGCAAAAAGGTTAGCCATTACTGAGCTAAACGTTTTCAAAGAAGCCAAAAAAAACCTCACCCTCAATTGCCTTTTGGGAAAAGCAGCTTTGGGACTAAAGGCCAGGTCAGGTCAAAATAAAATTCTGAACAGCCTAATGCCCTTATGATCTGGCCACCTTTTTGGATATGTTGTACAGCTGGTCCTTGACTTAAGACCACAGTTGAGTCCAACATTTCTGTTTCTAATTGAGACAGCTGTTAAGTGAGTTTTGCCTCACTTTACAACCTTTCTTGCCACAGCTGTTCACTGAATCACTGCAGTTATTGAGCTAGTAATAGGGTTGTTCAGTGAATCTGGCTTCCTCATTGACTTTGCTTGTCAGGAGGTCACAAACCTGTCCTTGGGACACAGCAAAGGTCATAAATCTGAACCCGTTGCCAAGCATTTTAACTTCAGATCACATGATCACGGGGAATCCTGCGAAAGTCATAAGTGTGAAAAAACGGTCATAAGTCATTTTTTTCCCAGTGCCGCTGTAACTTCGAACGATCCCTAAACCAACTGTTGTAAGTCAAGGATTACTTGACCTTTACTAAAAGCCAGTAGATCTCTGAAATCATTAGTTGCTAAGATGAAGAGGAAACAGAAGGAAAAAAAATTATCCCAAGGCTTCAGCAGTGGACTTTTCAAAACCATCAAGCCAGCGTGCCTTTCAAAAACGCTCCGTTTCCACTTTCGTTTTTTTCCTAAACCCCATCCTCCTTAGACAAGCTGGTTAGCAAATGAGGACACTGAAGCAGAACAGAAAGCATCAGAAGGAGGGATAAATTGCTTCAGATACCTTAGGAACCAGCTGCGCTCTTCCACTTGATCATGTATTCAGATAGCAGATTTTGATATTTTTGGTAACGAGACACATGTGCCTGATTATAATGGAAGGGGGAAATTACAGACATTGAGAAACATCCTTTGATCAGTGTGACAGAAAGTAGTCTTGAAATGATCAGGCCTTAAGGCTGAATTTTGAAGATGTTCTTGGCAGATGGTTTGCAAAAAAATAAGATAGGAAGATTAGAAAATATATATATATTCAAACTTCACTGACTTGATTATCATTGGGTATTAAAGGCTGGCCTTTTTTCTTCCTCCTGCATTTTGCATTTTGATGAGGTTAAAATAATAACAGGTTGTCCTCGACTTAGCCACAACTGAGCCCATAATTTCTGTTGCTGAACAAGAGAGTTAAAAGTGCCTTTGGCCGCTTTTTGGGACCGCTCGTGCCACAGTCATGAAGTGAATCACTGCAGTTCTTAACGTTAGTGACACAATTGTTAAGGGAATCTGGCTTCCCCGTCGATTTTGTGAGAACTGGGACTCTGCATGTTCTGTCTCCGTCCCACACACGCACCCCCACAGACGACCCGGAGTTAATAAGCCACACGACAAAGTCTTTGAAGATAAAGCTGGCAGCAACCCAGTGGCTAGCTGCCAATTCAGACTTTACTCACACAAAACAAAGATTAGACTGCAAGCATTCCGATAAAGCAGGCAAAGTTTCAGCAATACAAGGATTAGTCCAAATGCAGTCCGAGAAGGCAGGCAGAAGTCCAGTAACGCAAAGATCATGGATTATTTTTAGTTTTTGCTCGTCACAAACTGAACCGGCCACCATACCCACATTTATACCCTGTGGGGTGTGATCCAGTGATTCAGCTAATCTCTGGCACGCCTTCCCCTCTCCTGCACACACTTCTCCCTGCGCCGCTGTCGAGGATCCAGGCAGCACTTAACTCCTTCATCGCTGTCCACCTGTGGCTGCGGGGACGTGCTTGGCTCTGGGCCTATCTCTTGGCCTTCGGTGTCCTCCGGAGGCATTGCCAGAGAGGAGAGTCCTGGAGAGGGAGGCCTTGCCAACTCCTCTCCCTCACTCTCAGAGTCTGCATCTGTCGATAGCCCAGGCTCAGGCAACGGAGCCACAACACTGCAACTGTCATAAATATGAGTCAGTTGTTAAGCATCTGAATTTTGACCGCATGACCCCGGGGATGCTGCAATGGTCGTAAGCGTGGAAAATGGTCATAAGTCACTCCTTTCGGTACCGTTGTAACTGTTGTAAGTCAAGGAGAACTGTATTTCTCTGGGAATGGAGTGCTGAATGATAAGTGCTAACAATGTTGACTGTCACTGTTTTCCTAGCAAGCAAGCTACAAAACTCACAAACACCACAAATTCCCATTGGGCCTCTTACTTCTGATCAACATCAGGTGTGCATTACCTGAGTGCCAGGTTTATATGACGTCCTCCAAAGCCTTGGAAGGACAGCCCTCAAAAGTGGCCATTGCACAGTTAATTTCTATTTCTGTTTCTCAAATGTTCACACACTGCCAGCTTCCAAATCCTTAAAAGGGGTTTGCAAAGAAAAAACAAAAAGAAGTTTGCCTAGAACATTAACGAAACATTCAGTTAAAACCACCAGCAATTTATAGCCTGCTCAGCAAAGAGGTTTCTCAGCCTTTTGCAATGCTATCAAGGTAGTTAAAATAGCAATAGCCCTTAGACTTACATACCACTTCACAGTGCTTTACAATCCTCTCTTAAGCGGTTACAGAGTCAGCCTATTACCCAGGGGTGAAATGTTCCCGGTTCGGACCGGATCGCCCGATCTGGTAGCGATGGCGGCGGGGGTTTTCGGAGAACCGGTAGCAAAAATCCCTGCGCGCACACCCCCCCCATGCCCAGCTGAGCCGCATGATGATCAGAGGCTGTTTTTTACTTTTAAAAGCAGTTTTTCTACAACCTCTTCAGCCAAAGAGGTTGTAGAAAAAAAAAATGCCTTTAAAAGCCTCTGGCGATCCCAACTGAGTCGCCTGATCGTCAGAGGCTTCTAAAAGCATTTTGTTCTGCAACCTCTTAAAGTTGTAGAAAAAATGCTTTTAAAAGTAAAAAAAAAAAGTTGGCCACGCCCACCCAGTCACATTACCCCACCACCACCACCAAGCCACGCCTACAGAACCGGTAGTAAAAAATTTAAATTTCACCGCTGCTATTACCCCCCAACAATCTGGATCCTCAGTTTACCAACCTCGGAAGGATGGAAGGCCGAGTCAACCTTGAGCCGATCAAGATTGAACTGCTGGCAGTCGGCAGAATTAGCCTGCAATACTGCATTCTAACCACTGCGCCACCAAGGCTCTTTTAGAATACATCAAATGGATTTTTTTTTTCATCCTGCCATTTGAAATCCAGCCACCCTGCTTGGTTCGGAGACCTGAGAAATATTGCAGGCAAACTTCATTGCCAACCTTTCGTAATGTGGCCATCTCCCAGATGTGTCGAGACTCTTTAACTTGGAAACCTCTCTGCCTTTTACATCTGGCATCCTGGGAGTTGTAGTCCAAATTTATTCAGAGGGCGCCATGTTGGGGGAAGGCCAGGGTGTCTTACCTTTCTCCAATGAGGAAGGAAACTGGGCTTGGATGGTTAGGCTCACAACTGGAAGCATTTTAATAAAAAACCTGTTTCCTTGTGGCTGAAGTTTTTGTTGTTGTTAGTTGCAAAGTCGTGTCCGACCCATCGTGACCCCATGGACAACGTTCCTCCAGGCCTTCCTGTCCTCTACCATCCCCTGGAGTCCATTGAAGCTCACGCTGACGGCTTCAGTGACTCCATCCAGCCACCTCCTTCTCTGTCGTCCCCTTCTTCTTTTGCCCTCCGTCTTTCCCAGCATTAGGCTCTTACCCAGGGAGTCCTTCCTTCTCATTAGGTGGCCAAAGTATTTAATAATAATAACTTGATTGTCATTGTACGTGTATACACAGTATACCCATATAACAAAATTCACTGAACACCCAAAGACCAGGTCCAACACACATAACAATCCCCAAACACACTCCCACCCACCACACATTTTCCCCACCCTAAACCACCCAAACATCCACACAACAGACCAAGAAATGCTGTCCAACAGCTCACTGATGGTGGCCCTTTAGTTCATGGTTGAGTGCAATTATAGCTCTGGGATAAAAACTATTCAGAAAACGTGTGGTCCGAGTTTTAGTTGTTCTGGGTATCTTCTGCCAGAAGGCAACAGTCCAAAAAGATTGTAAGCAGGATGGGAAGAGTCTCTGAGAACGTTATGCAACTTCCTCAAACAGCGAGATGCGAAGATGTCGTCCAGAGCTGGTAGTTGGAGCCTGGATGATATTCTGGGCATTTGAGTTTCCTCTTCAGGATCTGGCCTTCTAAAGAGCAGTCAGGGTTGATCTCCTCTAGGACTGACCTGTTCGTTCGCCTTGCAGTCCAAGGGACTCGCAGGAGTCTTCTCCTTTTACCTGTTACCTTTTACTGCTATAAAAGGACAAATTTTACTACGGGTAGCCCTTGACTTTCAACCATCTGTTTAGTGGCTGTCGGAAGTTACAACAGCACTGGAAAGTGACCTATGATCATTTTTCACGCTTACAACCGTTGTAACATCCCCAGGGTCATGTGATCAAAATTCAGAAGCTTGGCAACTGGCGTGTATTTCTGACAGTTGCAATGTCCCCGGCCATGCAAATCACTTTTGCGACCTTCTGACAAGCAAAGTCAATGGGAAGCCAGGTTCACTTAACAACCAGGTTACAGGGAGTCCTCGGCTTACGACAGTTCCTTTTGGAAGTTACAACAGCACTGAAAAAAAGTGACTTGTTACGACCGTTTTTCACACTTAACGACCGTTGCAGCAGTGCCCCATGGTCTTGCGGTCAAAATTCGGATGCTTGGCAACTGACTCGCATTTATGACGATTGCAGCGTCCCAGAGTTATGTGATCCCCTTTTGTGACCTTCTGACAAAGTCAGTGGGGAAACCAAATTCACTTTAACAACCATGCTATCCATTTTAACACTTGCAGTGATTCACTTAACAAATGTTTCAAAATGGAGCGAAACTCACTTAACAAATGTCTCAGTGACATAAATTTGGGGATCTGTTGTGGTTGTACATTGAGGACTACCTGTACTAACATGAACAAGAGCCTTGGTGGCGCAGCAGACTAAAGCACTGTTAAGTAGCACCAGCTGCTGCAATTACTGCAAGTTCAAATCTCACCAGGCTCAAGGTTGACTCAGCCTTCCATCCTTTCGAGGTAGGTAAAATGAGGACCCGGATTGTGGGGGCAATAAGCTAACTTTGTATAAAAAAGAACACCGCTTAGGGGGGGAGGGTGTGTGAAAGCCCTACTAAGCAGGTATATACAAAAGTATGAAGGCTATGGCTTAACGCATTGTAAGCCGCCCTAAGTCTCCGGAAAAGGGTGGCATATAAATCGAACCAATAAATAAATAAATAAACTGCCGTGATTCACTTAACAATGTGTGTAAAATTGGGCAAAAAGTCACTTAGCCACAGAAACATTGGACTCAACTGTGGTCGTACGCTGAGGGCTACCGGTATCGAGGCTCAGCGGGCAAAGGTCCTCACAAGCTGACCTCTCCTCTCCTTCCTTCCAGACCTCCTCCGAATGTTCTTCGATGCCTTGTACGACGAGGACGTCATTAAAGAGACGCCTTCTACAAGTGGGAGTCGAGCAAGGACCCAGCCGAGCAGCAAGGGAAAGGTGTCGCCCTCAAGTCGGTCACAGCCTTTTACACTTGGTTGCGTGAAGCTGAGGACGAATCCGACAACAATTGAGCAGCCCACAAGAGGGGAGGGTGGCGGGGGCAGACCGAACCTGCCCTGCGCTCTGGCCCCTCCTCGGAGCCTGGACTCCCTTGGGCGATGGCGTGGGAAACGAGACGCGGGGCTGACCTCTGCCAACTTTTCTCCTGCCTGCCCTCATAAGACTTATTTTTTTTTTCTTTCCCTTTTTTTTTTCTTCTTTTTTTTTTTTTTTGGTTGGGATTTTTTTTTTCTCCTTTTTTTTTTTTTCGTTTTAACAGCCTGTATTGGTTTGTGTCTGACGATAATAAATTGATGCTCAAGGAGGTAGGTTTGCTGTGGGCACTCCGCTCAGCCCCCCCCCCCCCTCCTGGGCGCGCGCCCGGGTGCCTGAATGATTTTCATGAGCGGGGGGCCCCCTAATTCTGGTGCAAAAGCACCCTGAAACACATGTCTTTGATGGAAAGGGGGTGGGCAGCCAACCCAATGCCTATGCTCCTGCCATCTCTCTCTCTCTCTCTCCCTCTCTCTCTCTCTCTCTCTCCTCCCCTCTCCCTCTCTTTCCCACCCACCCTCCCTCCCTCCCCCTCCCCACTTTATGGCTGAAATATAGAGATTATATAAATATATATATAAAATATAAATATAGACTTATTAAATCTTTTTGAGGTTGGAGAATAGAACTCTTTAAACTGTCCACACAAACGGCTCTTTCCCCCCCCGATCCTCTCAGATCGTCGGCCACTTTTTTGGGGGGTGGGTGGAGTTATCACCGCCTGGAATTAACGTAAAAAAAACCACCTCCACCTCCCCCCCCCCCAACCCAGAATGGATGTTCTTTGGAAAACAATTTTGCAAGCGCAAGAGAAATCATTTCAAAACCTTCACCTTTTGCTGCTTGGGAGTTGCCGGCGTCTCACTGGCCAAGAGGTGAGGGCGGCCCTGACTTCCTGACCCTCCACAAGCCTTTCCCCCATGGCTGCCTTGGCCTTCTGGCGCCAACCTCACCCCTTCGCAACCCTTCGCCGTCCCGCCTCGTGCCCGCCTCCGAGCGGACGGATTAGAGGCAGCCGCGACCCGCTTCGTCTACGCTTGGATAGTTAAAACGGAGCTGCGCGCTTGTTAACGGAAAGGAAAACAAAAAGCAAAAACGACAACGAAACCACAACGAAACAAAAAAATCAAAAAAAAAAAAAGGATAAAATTACCGGTCACGTGAATTTGTAAATATATTTTTTTCTCCTTTCTTTTTTCTTTTTTCCTTTTTTTTTCTTTTTCCGGTTTTTTTTTTTTCTTTACGAAGTATTTAATTGAAGATTGAAAAAAAAAAGAGCATCTTTTCACCGTAAACTGGAAATAATAATAATAATAATAATAAAAAAAAAAAAAGAACATTGCTAAACCAAGGTGACGTGTGGGTGATGTCGCAATCCCCCGCCCGATAGTTGGCAGGGATTTTTGGGAGAGAAAAACGCGGCGTCTTGTATCACCCAGTCTGCCACAAAAAAAATAATAATAATAATAATAAAAGGAGGGAGTGGCTCGGAGGTTGCCCCGCGTTCGAGTTGCTCGATACGGAACAATTTTGGCATGTTATCCGAACCTTTTGAAACAGAAGGCATGCAACTTTTGGAGGGGGAAAAGGGGGCAGGTTATCCGAGAAAGAATAGGCCTGAAGAAATTACACGACGAAGAGGAGAGAGGCAACATAGAAAGGGTTACGATAAGTTCTACGGTGCATATGATTACGTGGCGGCCATGGCTAATTTTGATGGGACGTGAAAATAAAGTCTTTGAACAGGTTCCTTGCAAGCTTTGAAGCGTTATAGAGTTGTCTCCCAAATTGTGTTTCGGGGAAAAAAAAAAAATCATTCCAATGGCAGTGATCTCCCGTTAACGGTGTTTTAATTGAAAGGTTAATGGCGTTTGTGTCTTGGTCCTGACCAGAGGTCTTCAAGTTGGCGCTTTAAGACTTGTGGACTTCAACTCCCAGAATTCTCCAGCCAGCATAGCTGGCTGGAGAATTCTGGGAGTTGAAGTCCACAAGTCTTAAAGCGGCCATCTTTGAAGACCTCTGGTCTTGATCATAGATTGCTCTGCTGCTTTCTAGAAAGGCCACTCTTGAAGTCCTTAAACCGAAGGGCATGGAGTCTTCCCGTCCTTAAAGGTAGATTAGCACTTGCATTTAACGCAGGTAGTCCTCGACTTACGGCAGTTCGTTTAGTGACCGTTCAAAGTTAACAACCACACTTATGACTGTTTTTCACGCTTCCGACCATTGCAGCGTCTCCGTGGTCAGGTGATCGAAATTCAGATGCTTATCAACTGACTCACCTTTATGACCGTGGCAGGGTCCTGGGATCAAGTGAGATCCCCCTTTTACGATCTTCCGGCAAGCAAAGTTAGTAGAGAAACCAGATTCACTTACTAACTTAACAACAGCGGTGATTAACCAAAAGGGGAAAAAAATTGGGCAGAACTCAGTTAACCAGCGTCTCGCTTAGCAACAGAAATGTTGGGCTCAAATGAGGTTGTAAGTCAAGGACTACCTGTATATCTCCATATTAGGGGGCTCTTGGTGATTTTTAAAGGCTTCTGCACTTTTAACTCCCAGAATTTCTCAGCCAGCATGGCTGGCTGGGGAATTATGAGAATTCAAATCGTCTCCATGGTCAGGTGATCGAAATTCAGGTGCTTAACTGACTCGTGTTTATGTTTTATGACAGTGGCAGGGTCCTGGGATCAAGTGAGATCCCCTTTTACGATCTTTGAATAGGAGTTCAAATCCACAAGTTTTAAAAGTCGCCACGGTTGGGGAATCCTTATTCTAATTCAAGCATTAGCAGCTTTTTCCTTACCGTGTGATTGAATATTCTGGATTGCACAAAACAAAAAGGTTGATTAAACTACCATTTTTTTTAACGGCTGCCCAATATCTTAACCTACAGAATTAACAGCAAGCATCAGCGAGGTTTTTTAGAATGGGTTTCAGCCTTCAAAACCTAGCCTACTGAGATTTCGGGGCTCGCTAAACTGGTTGTTTTAACTGGCCTGTTAGGGAAGGCTGGGCCTAAAATTGGGGTACTGCTGGCTCCCCATTAAGATTAAGACTGCCATCCCGAATATATTGTAACACTGTGGTTTCCTGGACTTTATGCCGGTAAGTACAATTTTATGTCGCCACATGAAATGAGCCGTAATGGTTAGAACGTATTGCAAGCTAATTCTGCCAACGGCCAGGAGTTCGAGCCTCACCGAGTCTTGCCTTCCTTCCAAAATCGGTAAAATGAGGATTGTTGGGGGCAATACGCTGACTTTGTAAACCGCTTAGAGAGGGCTGTAAAACACCGAAGCGGTATATAAGTCTGTTGCTACTTCTATGAGCAATGCGTGCGTACATTAGGTTTAGCAAAAGATATGTCTCTAAGGATTAAGCGTGTCGGGAACGCTAGATCCTTCTCTCCATGGATCTCTTTTCCACAGGCCATTCTTGGATATTGTAGATCGATCTTAACGGTCAAAGTTATATTACAATTGGCTGGGATAGAACAGGGGTCTGTAGTGGATCAATTCCTCACCTGGTACCTCTAGAGCAGGGGTCGGCAACCATAAACACTCAAAGAGCCACAAAGGTCCTAACTGGAAGCCCCCCCATTCAATTCTGGAGCCGACTGGAAGTCCGGTTCCCCCACCATAGAGTCTCTTCCTAACACAGTGTCCTTTTTCCTATGCTGACCGGAAATCTGGTTTCCCCCACCACCATAGAGTCTCCTAGCACGGGGTCCTTTTCCTCTACCTGTCCTAACCGAAAGACCTATCAATTGTGGAGCCAACCGGCGACAAGGAACCGCAGCAGAGGAATAGAAGAGCCACATGCGGCTCCAGAGCCACAGGTTGCTGACCCCTGTTCTAGAGCCGTGTTTCTCAACCTTGGCAGAAAATGTTTGGACTTCAACTCCCAGAATTCCACTTCTTGAAGTCCACACATCTCCCAAGCTGCCAAGGTTGAGCAATGTTGATCTAGAACAGGGGTCTCCAACCTTGGCAACTTTTAAGCCTGGCGGACTTCAACTCAAAGCTGGCTGGGGAATTCTGGGAGTTGACGTCCGCCAGGCTTAAAGTTGCCAAGGTGTGGAGACGCCTGTTCTAGAACAATGTCCACATTTGGGGAATTTATAGATAGTCCTTGACTGGACCAGAATTTCCGTTGCTAATCAAGATGGTTAAGGACAGGGCCGGATTTAGACGAAAAGAGGCCCTAGGCTATTCCACTTATGAGGCCCTTTCACCTATAGTGAAAGTGTAATTTTAATTTTGCTAACAATTTGAATGTAGGCCCCTCTTGATCTTGAGGCCCTAGGCTGAAGCCTAGTTAGCCTATAGGAAAATCCGGCCCTGGTTAAGGAAGTTGTGCCCAATTCTACGACTTTTTTGCCACGGTGGTTAAAACGAATTATTAAAATTGTTAAGTGAATCATGTGTTCATTAAATGAATCTGGCTCTCTTCCCCCCCCCCCTCCCCAATGACTTTGCTTGTGGGAACCTAGCTGGGAAGTTCACAAGTGGCGATCACCATCATGAATACATGCTGGTTACCAAGCATCTAAATTTTGTCACTGAGGATGCTGCCACGGTCGTAAGTATGAGGACTGATTGTAGGTCATTTTCAGTGCCATTGTAACTTCAGTCACCAAACAAATACATGCAAGTACGGGTAGTCCTCAACTTACGACCATAATGGAGTCCCAAATTTCTGTTGTTAAGTGAGACCGTTGTTAATTTTGCTCCGTTTTATGACCTTGCCACAGTTAAGTGTTAACTGTTAACTTCCCCATTGGCTTTGCTTGTCAGACGGTCACAAAAGGTGGGTCACATGATTCTGGGACACCCAATGCCAAGCATTTGAGTTTTGATCACATGACCCCGGGGGTGCTACAATGGTCATAAGTGTGAATAAGTCACCTCAGTGCCGTTCTAACTTTGAACAGTCACTAAATGAACTGTTGTAACTTGAAGACTGCATATACAAGGTTTAGGGTACCGATCACTTAAGGCAGGGGTCGGCAACCTTAAACACTCCCAAGAGCCACAAAGGTCCTAACTGGAAGCTCCCCATTCAATTCTGGATCCGACCGGAAGTCCGGTTCCCCCACCATAGAGTCTCCTCCTAGCACGGCATCCTTTTTCCTCTACCTGTCCTAACCGAAAGCCCTTTCAATTGTGGAGCCGACCGGCGACAAGGAGCCACAGCAGAGGGATGAAAGAGCCACATGCGGCTCCAGAGCCGCAGGTTGCCGACCCCTGACTTAAGGACTATGAAAGATTC